GTTGACTATATATAACCTTACAACATACATACATAAATGTATAGTATGTATGTACACAAAAAATTATATGTAGATGATATACCGATCTGATTTCATTACGCTATCTTAATTAAAATCAATGGGACGAACAACATAAATCAATATTCGATAGATTGTGGCTAGTAGATCCATATTACAGGCTATAACCCTGGGTGAGCTAAGTCCCGAACTAGTCTTTCAGTTTTTGAGATAACGATCTAACAATTTTTATACGTCCTTTTCTCCCCAAGAAGCTACTTATTTATCGGAACCACTATAGGATATAGTTGCCATGCAAACTGAAGGATCCAAATGTAGTCCGCGTGTGAAAAACTTTTCTATTTGATAAAATATCTTCAGGAAATTTGGCACAGATTATTGTCCAAGACAATGTTACAATATTCGAATTTATTGTTCACATTGGACCACTATAGCATATAGCTATGTATGTACATTCATACAATAGTTGTTATAAAAAATGTAAGTGAAGTAGATTATAGCTTCAGTGCAGCCGAATATAACGTTTTTTCTTATTGTTTGAAAATCTTTACCTTTCATTCATTTTATAGTAACATCCTCAGTCAACATTACTGAGATATCTGACATATACACCGATATGTACAGTATAGAGACCACCCTGAGGAAAAAGATTTAAGATAGGGTCTATGGGCTGTAAGGAAAACTATGGATTGTTGTCGTTCATTTTTCAGAGTTGCCAAATAATAAGAGTAGTATACAGATCATGTATAGTTATCTGGCAATGAAGAAATCGTTTGGAACTGTAAAGCTGATGAGCTTACAAGGAAGGACACTATCATTCTATCATCAGACTGGGAATGAGTTCCGCTGTCCTGATGCGATTTAATAGTGGACAACTGTCTCAATATAATCCAGCAACCTCCTTCTTAAATAGAGTGGATGGTAAGAGATCCATTAAAAGACATGGTCGATTTGGAGAGGTTCCGGACATTGTCCAATGGTCATCGTAGCGGTGAGACTAAGAAACTTTGCAGGAATTTTTATGGAAATAAGGGAGGTAGAATCATTTACTGGAAATATAATTGTGTATCAACCATTGAGTTCTACGAATATGTCGCATTTCGATAAATAATATTTCATTTCAAAAAGATTTTTAGTAATGGAAATAGAATTTAATAGTCGATAAGTATGTATATATGGTATTTTCATCAATTCGAACGAAAACCTGTACAGTATAAATTTTGAACCGATTGATATTTAATTGGATTGTACATACATATGTATTATCCTAGATAGTCGGAAAATATTCCACAATGTTATTGACTAATGATGTCGGGTAGACAGTAATTGGTCGAATATATATCCCTGTCCCTTCCATACAGCCGACTTTCGTCGAAAAATATGTAGGTATGTATATGTATGTACTCTTTACGGCATTATATTTTACGAAACTATGTGAAGTGGAAATTTTTATAATGTACATATGTATAGTTATTATGTATGTATATATGTATGTATGTATTAAGGTGTACGAATCGTGCTACAAAACAAACCGTAATGCAAAAATTTGCTATACAATAAAAAAAATAAATAAATAATTGTAATGTATTGATTAAAAAAAATCATACATTAAAAAAATCAAAAATTACAATTATTTATTTATTTTTTTATTGTATAGCAAATTTTATTTTATTTTACATAATTAATAATTTTTAAAAATTATGGACCCTAAATGACCTCAACCACGTATATGCGACACCTAAACAAAAATTTATTCATTGGGGCCTGAAGGGTTGATATCGGGATGGCCACAATTATCGATTTAATGAATTGATTCAATTCAGTCAGATTTCTGGGGTTTGCTTTTTACACCTTTTGCTTGACATAACCCCATAAAAAAAAAAGTCTGGTGCAGTCAGGTCAGGTGATCTTGGGGGCCAGCGGAAAGTTAAGTTTCTTGATATTAATTTGTTTTCACATTTTCGTTGGAGTTCCGCAATAGCCGGTCTGACTATGTTTGTATTGCTGGAACTCACTAAACATCTTTACACCTTGATGAAACTGCGCATCACACATAACTCGTTCTAGGTGAAATTCCGTCTCGTGAATTATTCCTGAACTTGTTTCACTCCATATAAGGCAATGTTGCTTGTTTACATTTCCCATTAGATCAAAATGTGCATCATCAGACATAAACAGGCAATTTATTGTCTTTTTCGGTCATTTCAATTTTTTGGCAAAATTCCAGGCGAATAGGCAAATCTAGAGGGTTTATCCGGCTTGTAATTTGAACATTGTAAGGAAACAGATTTAAGTTATCATGAATTATCCGTTGTAATGACCGTCTGCTAATTCCAAGTTGCGCCGATAAGTTGCGAGTCGAAACTATTGGATTTGCCTGTATTGACAATACAACAGCCCATATTATTTCTTGAACACGAACATAGGGATCTCGATGGGACGGTCTTCTTGCTATACTTTTAGATTCGGAAAACATGTTTACCACCCTCATAATGGTCCATCTAATCGGGGTGTGCTGCCAAAATCCCTCCTGAATTCCCTTTGGACAGATATGACGGACAAAGCATGCGGCTGCATCCAAACCCACCTTCCGGTATCCGAAGCATTCATTTTTAAAAATTTTATATAATAACCTGCCAAATAAAAAAAAAAATAAGTCGATTTCTCACACAGAAAAAAAGCTAGCATTTGTTGCACGATTCGTTCGCCACGCTGTAAAATGTATTGCATTTTAGCAATATACAAGATTTACATACATATGTTATAATTATTATATACATACATACTTTGCATGAATATCCACTCATAGCGGATGCAAATTTTGGCTTCATTTCACCTTGACCTAGTCGACCCGATTTAAATAATTATAATTTATGCTTTTTTATCTTTCCTATCAACACAAGCTAATACCAAGAAAGATCAATCTACTTAATGCTTCGATGAAAATTTCCGTCTGTTAGATACTTAACTAACCACAACTACACATATGTACATATGTATACATACGGTATCTGGTAACACCACTGCCGTGCGCATTTTTCTCGGTTCGTCGTCAGCTTCGTCGTAGTTTATGGATACACACGATTTACCAGCGCACCCGGTGTTGTTTTGTTTTTGTTGTGTTCAGCGATTGCTCTTGTTTTTGTTATTGTTGTTGCTGGCGTTGCCGTGGTTTTTTGTTTGCTGTTTATTCTTATTGTTTGGCTTAGAAGTTGACGCGCTGTTGTTATTGTGAAGCGAATATGCATGTGTGTAAACATGCGAATAGAATTGTATTTGTGAAAGCAGCAGCGCGCAGTCTGTCTTTATACACAATTTGTGCCGCCGACAGCACTCTCTATCGATGCTACACTCACCGACTTGTATCGGAATCGTCGACGGCGCAGTCAACGTCAAGCGTAACTAACATTTTCGCCTAGATTCGCGATTCCCACGCATTTCATTATAATTAAACGCATTTAATTGTTGCTTTTACTTAAGAAATTAAATTACTCACCTTGCGCTAACTGCTTTTTAAGTAAGCGATTATTTATTTTATTAAGTTTTGATAGCAGATTGTATGCGTAAATGTATTTTGTTATTTTTCGCTCGAATTTTATGCATGTATGCACACAAACAGGCGGGACTGCAAATTTTTGCAAAATTTCGCACACTGATATCCCCGAAATAAAATTAAAATATGCATAATTTTCTAATACACACATATAAAACACAGCCGTATTTTTTGCATTTATTATTAATTTACCTTTAGCTATGTTTTTGTTTATAATAATTTAAAGTCACCGTCGACTCTTCTATTACCAACAATTCGCACCAAATCATTTCGTCGACTGCGCTTCGTGGACGTCGTTGACGTCAAACAATTGTTTTAAGTTCCCTGGTTGACGCGACTGTTTCTGTTATTTCGAAAGATTTTATGTTTTTTTTTATTATTAAAATTTTGAGTGTGAATACAAATTACTAATTATAACTTTATGTTTTTACAAATTATAAATCTACTATATTTCAATTTTTATACCTTTTCCTTTTTGTGTTCTCTAATGCAACTTGTTCGGCACCACTTTGTTTTTAAAGTTTTGCTTGGAGAACAAGCTGCACCCACATGATGCATGCAACTTCTATATCAAACATGTTGTTTTAATATAATCTCTCTTGGAAGAGAACCTTGTTAACAGTGGTATTAAAGAGTAGAGAAACAATTCAAAAATAAAAAAAAATATAAAAAAACTTGAGTGTGTTAAAAACTAAAAAACAATTGAATGTTTTGCTTATGAGAGTATATTTAATAGTGAGAAATAATATAATAGCAAAAACGCGTCTTTTGTGAATTTTAATAAATATTTATATAAATGTACATTTTCAGGCTTTAATGTACTCTAATAATCGGCGATTTATTTTGAAAAATGTTGGATTCCTTTGATTCCATAGCCGATCTAAAGGAGTATCTTCGAAAAAAGGTGTCTGGCGGCGTGAAAGATTTTTTCGCTGGAAAAATAAACGAAATCCAAAACCCCAAAAAAATAAAATATCTATTACAATAGATCGAAAGATTAGTCAAAATTTTGTATTTTGACAAAATGCCGGCTTCCCAAAAATTAAGTCGGTTTTTTGTGAAAAAAGTGCAATTTAGAATAGCTTAAAAAGTCGAAATTAATAACAAAAACAGCGTTTCGAAAAAAATGCGTTTAAAGTTTTTGGAGCTGTTTATGTTAATTTTTTAAATTCTTACAAATATGCTCATATCTCCAAAACTACTTGCGGATCAATTAAAATTTTTCGGCGAATATATATATACATTCCATATATGGACTTACATGTATGCAAAATAAAATCAATTTTAAAAGATTCACAAGTGAATTTAAACCCTTAACCCAGTAAATATTCAGCAAATTATTTATAATAGTATTTATTTAGTACAATTAGTGCAACTTAATTGCATTTTAAAGAAGATAGTTGAAAAAATTATATTGAATAGGAAATAAAAAAGTATAGTTATATCTGTATTCCTGCCTTATGAATAAATCAAAATATGCCGGTCATTGTGTAAATGATATAAATTAAGAATTTGTGATTAAGCCCTCGGACACCTGTACACGAATGTTCAAATATTATGATAGAACGATGGCCAATATTATTTAAAATGCTCCGAAATAACGTCTTTAGATTTAAAATGAGTAAAAAATTCAAATTCATAAATCCTTACATTTTTGTTTACCACCAGAAAATTTCAGTCAAAAAAAGTCATATTATAATCGCTCTTAAAGCATGTTAGTCAGGCGAATAATTAAATTTTATTTTCCAACACCGGATAGTTACTGATAAAAGGAAAATATATTATATTTATTTTCAATCACATTTTTCATTCAACAATATAACTTCCTGACTTGTATAAAATGCTGGAGGTTTTCTAGTATTTACACAGTTAGTAACTGATATTCCTTTAAATGCATGATTCTATTATATAAGAACTTTAAGACGCGAAGATGGATATACATCTGTTTCAATACCAAATAATATCTTGCAAGTGTTCTGCTGTAATCACTAAAAGAAGAATCAAAGCCACTTTAAAAACAGTTGCGAACCAGACCAAAGTACCTACTCAACACCTTCCAATACGAATTTCCACCAACGTGGTAAAAATAATTAAAAAAGTGAAGCAAGTGGCTCTCTGTCATAGTTGAAGTGATAATAACAGCATACTGAGTTTTTTATTACAATTTTATACATATGAATATATAATACATATGTTATTTGCTGCCGCATTCACATGAATGCTTGTCGCGGGCAACAACAATTGGCGTTTCTTGTGACAACATGCCTCAGATAATATTTCTGGGTACACAAATAAGGATATGTGTCGATTAAACAAAAGTTCCCAATACCCTAACATAATTATATACGAAATAAAGGTACCACAATGTATTTGCAGATTTAGAATATTTTTCTGATATATATATAATATATTATATATACATATATAAGTACGTATACATATACATATATATATATATATATGATGCTCTATGCAAACGCGATGTAAAAGATTAACACAGGAATACTACAATATTAAACAAAAACATCTATTTCTCAAGCATTTATGAAACACTTTTAGTTTATTTTACGTCCGCTTTTAATTCAAATCTTCAACAAAATATTTCCAACTACATTTTACAGTTAACATGCACATAAAACAGTCACGTGATCTTCAAACTGCCGCATGAACTGCATATGTATATAAATACTTATTATTTAGAAATTAAAAGTAAGCGGATGTACTGGGAAATAGCCTTTACTCTTAATGACTTGCTTAGCTAACCGCTGCAAATTGCTATCGTTATTTACATACTGTCCATTGAAGATTTCTGTGCATAGTTTGTACACTTTATCACGACCATGCGTGCACACGGCCGACGCCAAGACCAACTCATGGTCGGCCAACTGCAAGCCTATGCAATAGGAGCGTGAGGCACGCGCTAAACTGGCAAACATTGCATAGATTGTTGTGGCAATTTCGGCCAAACGCTGCATATCGTGATGCTTCTCCACCACAGCAGTACCATAGCGTGTTAGCAGCAACTCAACGCACATCTGCAGGCGGGCCACCGATTGTTCAACGCTTTGTGCGGCCGGTTCCAAAGAGGGGTGCACATTTTCATTTAAACGCATTTTAGTTTTTGGATTTTCAATGTTCGAACTTTGCAGAAATTTACCCAATATGTGACCAGGGTGGAAGAGTGGATTGCGCTGCATGCGTATTGTGTCTTGCAGTATACCCTGCTCAATCAAAATAAAAAATAATTAATAAACGTGCCTTAAAAAAATAATAGGTGTTAATATAATTTGCGCAACTTACGCCTGCATGTTGTAAGCCGGCCAGTGCGATGTACAAGCGCAGCGTGTCCATCGATTCACCTTGTGTGTACAGTTGAGCAGAATCGCGGAAAATCACCTCAGTTTCTTGGCCGGAAAGTAAAGATTTGGGACCAATAATGTCCATACTTTTACCCGCAATTTTAAACAATTGCGTAACGCTGTAATACTAAAAGGACATATATGTAAGATAGTTAACTAAAATTGATATAATTCCTCTTTTATAATTGCATTGACCCTACTTTGGTAATTGCGACTTCCAATGCCACATCTGGTGACGCAAATTCATCTAGTATGCCAGCCGTCATAAAAATCAAACTTTCAATAGCATATGTGGCACAAGACGCCTTTGACAAATGCATCTGCAAAATTTCCATATCCCTTAAAGTATAAAAACGAAAAAAAAACATAAAAATAACTGAATTAGGTAAACATGCGCATTAAATAAAAAATAATAATTTGTAGTTACTTTAGCGGCACATTGCACTGTTGATTGTCGATGCAGTATGAAGTCAAGTTGTTAATCAACTGCTTGGCCATGCCTAGTCCCAACATGGCAATTCGCAGTCGGTTACTGCGCAGCAATACCTCTGCTACTTCATTGCCTTCGTTCGCTGCCCCGATGATGCAACTGGCCGGTAGACGCACTTGGTCGAATTCCACACGTCGTATTTCTAAGCCCCTGCAACCGATTGTCAAATGTTGTTCTCCTAATTTAACACCTGTTGTGTTACTGTCCACTAAGAAAATTGTGGTACTACGGCCAGCATCTCCTTTAACATTCGGACGACGCGTTTGAGCGATCACCAAGAAGAGTGGTGTCGCATTGGTTGTAGCAAATGGACCAACTACTGCAAACGCCTTTTGACCAGACAAAAACCATTCGTTAGTTTCCGCTATATATTCAGCGGTGGTATTAAAATGTTCATGTTCTGCCATGTCATACTCGAATATTGCTTCCACACCAACTTGTGAACCTAAATAAGCGATATACACGTATTTTCAAAATATTATCAAATGATTAAAGATCAACTTTCTTACCGTTTACTAATTTTGGTAAAAATCGCTGCTGTTGCTCGGTGCTGCCCACTTCCTTTAGCAGATCGATTATTATGCGATGTGATAACAGGCCAAGAGCTACATTAGCACAGTTTGATTCTGGCTCTGTGAGCATCAAACTGGCGGTCCAACCCAGACCTTTGCCTTCAAAAGCTGCCGGCACATTTAGACCATATAAACCCAACTGTCGCACTGTATCTACAACTTCAACCGGTATTTGACGAGTGCGATCTATAATAGCATTATGCACTTGATCGGTGAAGAAATTTGTAAGGGGTAATTTTTCATTTTCAATTCGCGACATTTCCTCACGTTGCACGACCTCTGGATAGCCAAGCATTTCATTATCAACCACGCCAACGAAAAAATTCTTCACTAAGGGCAAACGTGCGCGCAATTTTCCTACATCTGGTGCCATCTTAACACCTGTCCCAGTGTGTCGTTGCTGATCAACAGCATCTTCACTGGCAAACGAATTGTTAGCAGTGGCTTTTGTCGAGGATTGACTACAATGTCTAGCGCTAGTGCTGGTTTCGCGTATACATTTCTCATTCACATATTCGAACTTTTTGCTGGAGTTTTGTTGCACAATTCGGTGTAATGTATTGCGGAGACGTAACATTTTTAGAACAATCCTATAGAAATACCCGGCAACTGCACCATTGACAGCAGAACTGTCAACTAACTGTTCTCACTTAACAGCTGATTACTTCAAATAACGAGTAGATTCTAATGTTGTTCAAAACCACGAGGGTTAGAGGGTTGGAGTAATCGGTAGTAAAATTACAAAATAAAACGTTAACTTCGGTTGCACCGAAGCTAGAAGACTTACTAAGTACTTAATTTTAATCGGTCAGTCTGTATAATAATGGTCCAGTCCTTCCGGCAAATTAGCAGATTTCTAAGTAGAAAAGGACGTGTGCAAAATTGCAGATCGATATCTCAAATCATCGTGTATGTACCGACAGACGGGCATGGCTAAATCGACTGTTACAAACTTCGTGGAAAACTTAATATACCCTGATCGAGTATAAATATATGGTATATATAATTTGAAGTTAAATAAAATCACACTGGAATCTATAGTCTGATTCAGTTAATTTCATAGTGATACTTATATTTGGAGTTCGAGGTATTGTTTTGTCACCTTGATACCCTTGGCAGTTTATTCTAACAAAAATTTTTCAAATATTTGTATGAAGGGTAACGAATTATAAATATATCCATCTTTAAACCTACACTAGATTATAGATTTGTGTATCCAGCAAAAACAAAAAAACCTAATTATTTTGACCGCGTCTGAAGCAAAATTTATAAACAAATTATTCTTGATGTTTTTTTACTATTTATTTTACTACGTTCTCTTTTTCATTTTTTTTTCAATGCATTACACACACTGTATTTATTCCTTATAATTTTGTGCTATTTTTTTTTTTTTAACTGTCATCTGATTTGTGGTGTGTCCAAAGATTGTCAGAGTTTAATTATGTAATCTGGCATTTAATGATTTTCTTTCAATGTACTCCCTATGAACGACAGCAGCTACTAATGCAGCACCGCGACCCGAACCGTCCTCTGAGAGCATAATGTCATACTTGCGATCCTTTTCCACAAAACGATCCAACGTTTCGCGCATATAACCATCGAAGTTCGGATGACAACGATAAACAGTGCCGTCCACACCGATGATAGAGAAGCTTTCACCAACTTTGTTCACCAAACTGCTTAATGTAACGCCCAGCATGTTACCGGAACGCTTCGCTACGACATCGCAAATATATTTGAATTTCATGCAGTCATCAGGATCGGCGTCGTGCAAATGGAATATGTCTTTGAAGATATCTTTTACCATTGGCCAGTCGTCACCTTTATCGTTGGCTAAATCGGAGAGTACCTTCGTTTCAATGCAATTTGGCTTTTTCGTCAGGATGTCCGTGATTTGTTTGCGCAGCTTGCATTGTGCAAATATCAAATTCTCATTGACGGCGCGTAACATAATCAGGCGTACCAGTTCACCCATGTACATGCCTGAAATCAAAGCATGCTTCATACATCTTTCCATCATTTAATTACTCAACTCACCTGCTACCATTTTTTCATAGATCTGTGAGCCCACATTCAACGAATTTTTATCCACAATCCTATCGTAATCGGTTAGTAAGTGATCAAGACCACCCTTTTCGCCGAAAGCGCCCCACTCCACATTGATTATAATCTTAGGTCGATCCTTATATTTGGAGTCCAAACGTTCACAATTTTCCACCTTTTCCGTATAGCAGGCATTGCAGCCTGTGCCGACAATCAAACCGATATTACATGCCGGATTGCGATGGGCGCAGGACATTTGTGTACCGGTCGTATCGTTCAATATGGCAACCATGTCGATTTTAAGTCCAGTGCGTCGTGAGATTGCCGACTTTAACATGACGCCCACATCTTCACCAACTGTATCCGAACAATTGAAACCTTTCGTCCAACGCACCAGTGTAGCGCGACTCAAGCCGGTCTGCACGCATGGAAATGAGAATGTGAAGCCCAGCGCCATGTGTTCGCCTTCGACTTTTTGCTCACAAACAAATTCATGCAGACACCTGGCGATGTAATCAAACAGTTGCGTACCGCTACCGAGCAATTCCTTCTCTGTTAGATCATAAATCTTTGACACTAGTTCGACGTCACGATCGCCCTTCAGCGTGACAAGCAGCACACGAAACCGTGATCCACCCAAATCGAGTGCTAAATATTTACCCGTCTCATTGCCATGGGGAAAATCCTGCACATATGTAAGGTAACATTTTGTGTCTGCATCCTTGTTAGTCTTCACGCCCAAGCCTTTGCGTATTTGAGCGCAAAAGTTTTGATAGAGACGCAGAAACTGATCTTCGCTAGGTATTAATTCGTTCAGAAATTCTCGTAATCGTGTTAATTCGCTCATTGTCTATTTGTGTTTCTTTGTTGTTTGCTTTTAAGTAAAATTTTTTGTTATATTATTGAGCACACCAGTCCAATTCCAATAAAAAGGAATCAAATAATCTTCAATTTAGTAATAATGATGTTATTAAATTGCAATTGATGATTGCAAATAAATAGTAAAATTACAAATTTAGAGTATTAAAGACTAGCAATTTTGAAAATTATGAAGATTTTTGTAATTGTCTTGAAAACTCCGAACTAGTTTGGTGTTTGGCAAAAGCGGCACAGCTTGCTTAGGTTAGTTCGGAAAGAGTTGGCGTGTGTATTTGAAAAATATCCACAATTTCACTTAAGGGGTTAGGGGTAGTCAGAATTTTCAAATATGAAATTGAAAATTGAAAATATTCTCTGAAAATTTCAAGTTGATCCAATAAGAGATTTCTAATTTTTTCGTGCCTCTGACTACCCCTAACCACTTAAAGAGTTAAGTCGGTCTAATTCCCGCAAAACAGGACTAACTTTGACAATATTTTCTGGGAGTAAGAAAAATGGAATCGAATTTTTAAAAAGGTTTTAAGTATATAAAATTTGTTTATATCAACAATTCGATAAAAATTAGACGGCTACTTAGTACTAAGAGGGCTTCGACAGCGGACGGTGATCCTAGGAAATCGTGCTATCTGAAACATAATAAGAAACTGAATTTTAATCCAGATAAGCGTTTATATTAAAGTACTTACGCTTATAACTTTACATCAAATTTTCATAAAATGTCGGAGAAAGAAGGTTAAATTAGTAGTCAATTAAAAAAATATATGTTATAATTGCATACGTAGTTTATTACATAAAGTTAATGAAACTGTAATTAAAACTTTAAGTGGATACGAGTGATATGGATCATAACCCAATTTGTAAAATGCCGTTTCGAAAAAAATTAGTTTAAAATTTTACGTGCCAAAACTGACTGACCGAAACCCTTCGACAGTAAAGCGGAAACTTTTTTTTCACAATTCTGTAAATGGGATCATTTTTAAAGGACTCTAAAGTGTACCTTAGACAAAAAAACTTATTTTGCGAAAATTTTAAAATGGCCTAGCCCCTCAAAAATCTCTTTGTGCACACATGTACATACATTTATCTCAACAGAAGACGACGTTTTAAGCCGACACCGAAATATTAGTAGATTTCATGAGACGCTTTTATAATATGGTACATAGTAGAAATACATAAAAAAATATAATTAGTAATTCTTTAATATTATTTTCAAGTACTTTTAACGAATTGAAACTTCCCTGATCGTTTAACCCACAACTAATAAAATTCGCACCACGTTTACTTTAGTGGATAATAAAAAGACCCGAAAGAGTCCATCCGCCAACAATTGGAGCTGTGTCCATCCACTTTATGGAAGATATTGCGGAAGGCTTTTGGTTTGCGGGCTTACAAAATCCAACTCGTGCAAGAATTTTAGCCGAACGACGAGAATTGAAGCTCACTTTTGGTTGAATAGGTACATTAATATAAGAATTATTGCATTTGGCGTGATGATAATCAACAAATCATTGTTAAGACGCCGTTACATCGTCAAAAAGTCACTGTTTAGTATGCTTTATGGGCAGATGGAGTTATTGGCCATTAGATATTTCTTCAAAAATTATCTTTTCGTGTCTGAATTGGAGGCACTACATGCCATACAGCCAATGATTCGATTGGTTCAATTTATAGAAGGAAACTTTAGGTGATCGCTTTTTTTCGATTTGGACTATTTTGGGCCAAAAGGATTTACGCCTTGACTGAAAATATTCGGTGCGTTATTGCTGACATACGGCGGACATTTGGCCTCTCGACTGGAATTTTTTTGATCCAGCCGCGACGGTCACCTACCCGAAATAATTTTTAAAACATAATGGCAAACCCTTATCTTCATAATGAAGCTAAGTTCTTGGCTATAACATAAAATTGTATGCGTGTTATATCTTCTTGATAACCACTTGTCTTAAAATAACAACCTGTATAAGCAATTCAGTGGTAACTATAATCCGGGGTTATAATGGTGTTATTTTTGACCCATAAATTATCCGCAACCAGCTATGATTAATTAGATAAACTCAATTTATTTTTAGTTCAATATACATAACATACAATAACACATAATATCAATTGCATTTTCAAAGTACAGTAAATTATTTATATAGTAGTGGTAACAGCTGTAAGTGCCAGGCTTAATTAACAGTACAATTGATATCCACAGGTTGTTGAAGTGATGATGTTACAGCTGCAAAATCTATTGCTCATTCATTTAGAATCGATTTTATATTGAAATAATAAACAATTTAATAATACTTACTATCGGCGTAGGCCGAATCATGTATCGACAGAATTTTTAATAACGGGCGTAGCTGTAACCACCACTGTTTCTTCGGTATGCGAAGGCTAGTAAAAAATAATACCATCGTAAGTGTATTACAAATTTTAAATTTATTATTAATCGATCATTGATAAAGTTTTTGAAAAGAAGTAAGTAATTTATCACATATATAGAATACCGTTATCTTAAAACCTTGCCCACTTCACAATTAAACGTTTCAAACATTAAAAATATATTTTATTCATTAATTTTTTTTGTTCATGTTTACTGAGCTACGACTTATAAACAGTTAAGTTCAATATTATATATTACTATTGACATCAATGATGTCTCGAGTACCTTTCTTTTGATACCAAAAACAAGGAAAAACTTTAAGCTATAATACCCTAAACAAATACTATAGATTGCATACAATAACTGGATTTTAAAAATCAAAATTCGTTAAGACACCTCTTTAAATATTATATAAAAGTTTCTCATATAAGGACTGAATTTCAGTATCAGTTTGTTTGGGCAATTTCTTCGGAGGTTGTACCTTTGCCTTCGACAATAATACAATTTCGAATATCTCGTCAAATAAAAAAGTTTCCCAATTATTTAATTCCGAATTCTCAAATGAGCAGCATCTTGGGAAAAAAAGAATGTGTGCAAAATTTCAGATCGATTTTTTAAAAACCTGAAGGTCTAGTTCTCGTTTATACAGACAGACAGATAGACGGACGTGGCTAAATCGACTCAGCTCGTATTGCAATAAATCCTTTATCAAATAAACTTTTTTGAAATAAAAATTTTAAGCATGTGGCACCCCTTCTATAAAAATATTTTCGATTGTAAGCATTTTTAAACCTTTTTCAGATTTTAAACCTATTAATTTTTGAACTTTCTCTTAAAAAAATGCCGTTGACCTATACTCAATATCAGGATTGCGAATTTTTTAATTCAAAAATTTTAGATTTAATTTTGAGATATAAAATTTTTATTTTTTAATCCTGATGTGGGGTCTAAAAATTAGATTTTTATTTTTTAATCCAAGACGTTTTGAAAATTGAAATTAATAGTTTTTGATTTGAATGAACTTGAAGGCATGTTAATTTTAAAACAAATTCTTTTTTTTTTTACTTTTTTATTTAGGATAGCAAAATAAAAAAAACAATTTTTTATTCAAATGTTAATTCAATTATTTGCGACCCTGCTCAATACTTGTATTGTTGTAGCACATTTTGCATTCTTCCAAAAAGTTATTAGTTTTTATATTAAGTCCAAATATAAGTCGTTTAAACCTGATATTTCCAGAAAAAAAGGTACTGTCCCCTGAGCAGAATTTGAAAAAAGTATTTCGGGGAGAGTTTATCCCATTATAACAAAAAAATCTCCGATTGATAATTTTACATAATAAATACGCCCATATTGGAACCCCAGATATAAAAATACCTAATCAGAATAATATAGAAATTTGCAAAGAAAAAAAAACTCCCACTTGGTTTAATGGTTATTGTTTCATAAAAAATAGTTTCTAACTTAGTTACAAATATTTTGTTTAGATTCCGAACTATGCCATAACTTACTGAAACTCCGTTTGATGGGATAGATCCTCCATGGGCGTTAGTTTATGTTCCGGACCCACCAGGCCTAGCAAGCATGAAGAGTGCTTTGTTGTCGCTAAAACCGTACCATCTGGTTGGACTGATTTTTTCATTTGTTCGCGTACAAATTGAGCACAAGCGATGCCCATCTCCGTAGCCAAGCAACGATCGAACGGTGTTGGTCTGCCACCCTGTTGCACATGACCTAATTAATGCGAGAGTCGAAACCAAAACTGTTATTCATTAGTTGTTCATAAGATAATTGCATGTGTTTACACCGACCTAGGATATTCGTGCGACAGCTAAACAGACCATTTGACTCCTCTTCGTAAAGACGTTCGATGAAGTTTGAAGTGTAATTTTTATTCGCACCTTCACTGCGCAACACTAGTCCACGATCAATGCCACCGTTCATTTTCGCTATCATATTATAACAGTCGCGTTGTATATCGTGGACGCTAAATTTTTCCTCGTAAATATAGGCCGAATCAGCGCCTCCGGCCATAGCTGCCATGGTAGCTAAGTAACCACAATGTCCGCCCATTGTCTCGATAATGAAGACGCGTTTCTTGTAGCCACGCGCCGAATCGCGTATCAAGTCGCAGATTTTCGTGATCTCATTTAAGCTGGTATCAGAGCCGATACTATACTCGGTACCGGGTATATTGTTAGATATTGTTGATGGTATTACAGCCATTGGAATGCAGAATTCCAAAAATTTTGACCGCTCCATTGTCAACGATAAGACGGTGCGATAAGCTTCGAAGCCACCGATAACCACTAATGCATGAATCTTGAATTCACGCAATTGTCGTGCGATTTCTGGAAATCTACCCTCCGGTGTGATACGATTCATGCCAAGAAAAGCGCCACCTTGTCCACACCAACCGATGACATCGCTCCTGAAACCAAAAAGCTCCTTTAATTACAATTGAGAAGTCACGTGAGAGCTACGTGGTCGCGGACTTACCAAATCAATGGTTTTAGTTCGCCAGCTGCTAGTCCCAGAACACCATTCCTAACGCCATATACGGAGTCACCGTTATAAATAATGGTGCGCACCAAACTTCGTGTGGCAGCATTGATGCCACAAGCTGGCGAACCGACGTGCATGACGGCAACATTGAAAGCATCCTATTGAAATATGTAAAAGAAGACATTAATTACATTCTTCTAATAATTCCGAAATATAACTCTGAAAACGTACGCTGGCACAATAGTCTTCCACCTTAGGTTTCGGCGTTTTGGTTTGCGATAATAATTTCAAAGCTTGCAGGTTCGCTTGAAACGCTATGCCACGTAAAGTAATCGCTTTCGCCCAATCCTTATCTTGCAGAGCTTTATTTACTGCTTGTGTTCGCTCCACCGCTCCCATCAGCGGAATCCGCTCAATTCGATTGTTAACCAAAACCACGACAACTGGCGTAGTGATTGCGGTTGATTCCAATACCGCGACGGTAGCTTCGGCGCCCATGCGGCAAGCTAAAATACGATCATAGGCGCTCGTTCCGCCACCTCGCTGCACATGGCCCAGTACCGTGATTCGACTATCCCAACCCAATTTGTCAAAAATCACTTGTTTCACCATCGGGGCTGTAATCGGTTCGCCATTTAGGTCATTCGCGCCTTCGGCAACGATAATGATATTGAGACGTTGACCACATTCTCGCTCCTGGTTAATATAATACACAATGAAGTTTTATTGTAAAAGAAAACCGAAGTAAAAGATCAACATCTTTCCCCTTTATGTACCAAAATATCCTCGAAGACATTTTAATACTCAAAATATACATTCAATAAAGTGTTTGAGAAAAAAGTGATGCGATAAATTTTAGAACATTTTAGACTTCAAGAAGCCGACAACAGTTTCAAACCACATTCTAGTATATGACATTTCGAAGCAATTAGAACTGATAAGCCTCGGTGATCCCGAATTTCAACAATTTAATGTATCAAACCATGGTTACTATTACTACATTACTAGTACTCACTTTAACTCAATACATTTTCGGTTAGTTTTGTTGTGATTCTATAATTTTTTAACTAAACTCAGTTAAGGGGGAAAGTAGGTGGTGGAGTCTTTTATCGGGAGCTCTCCATCAACTTTAGTTTCAGACTACCACACCACTGCAGCGTCTTTCAAGCGGACTTGGCTGCCATCAAGGCAGCAGTAGGTGTACTGCTCCGGAGTGCAGCTTCCTTTGGAGAAGTGTGCATTCACTCAGACAAAATTTGAGCTCGCTGACTGTGCGCTCAAAATTTTGAGTGCATAACCTTATTAGCAATAGCTTCAGGCTTCTTCCATATTAGACTAGTATGGCCACAGCGAAATCGCTGGAAACTGCAAAGCCGACGAGCTGGCCAGAAAAGTCACCCTTTCCTCGATGTCATTCGATTGGAGTCGAGTTGGTTCTCCGCTGTTTGCTTGCGTTCTGGCGTTGGACAATTGTATTTCCAATGAGCTTAGCGCTGGTCAACAACCAAACCATGTGAAACGTATGAGGTTTATTCTGACTAGACACTGTGCAATAAGTTTACACGCGGTGCGGCTAAATATTCTGCCGGACGCTCATTGTCAAAGCTGTATGGAGGAAGGTGAGGTGAAATCATCTTGTCACTTGCTTCTCTACTGCCCATCGAGTTTGGATCAACCCCACAACCTAACCTGACCTAACTAAACTCAACAAAGTGTTGTGAGTATCGCTTTATAAATATTCTAGTTGCTGGACTTTAGATATGTATCTTTGAATGCGTACATACCATTTTAAGTTTGGAACATAAACGATCATGCCAATCCAACGGTGGTGGTGCCTCGGGACAAAACACATAATCTGCTTCTGATATTATGCCAGAGACCATTGCTAAATAACTGAAAAAGAGTGGGTTTTGCTTTGAATTCCATATTCGTTATTCGACAAAATTGTTAATGAATTACAATCATATTTGGTATGATATTAACTTATATTACAAATCATAGATTTATTGAATTATTATGTATTATATAATATTATTTAATTTTGGTAAGATATCTGACATATTGACCAATGTATACGGTACAAAAGTGATTTTATGAATTTCTGACATCAAGACATTTTATTAGCAGAAAAAGATTATCTGAAAGTTTAATTAAGATAGCTCACACATTGATCAATATAAATGCTATGAAGTCAACTGGAAGTTTAAAAATCCGTGTATTAGTTATGTAGGTAGCCAGAGGAAGTTTTGACCCGATTCTGACCATTTTAGATATCTCTTAATTTTACTGAGATAACTCATATATTGACCGATATATTATATATGGTATAAAGTCAACCGGAAGTTCGGGGTTCGTATATTAAATACGAGTATATGGGAGCTAGCAAAAGTATTGACCCAATTCTGACAATTTTTGACGTAAGGGCAAATTATTGTTAGGAAAAGATTCTATCGGAATTTATATAATTTATCTCAAATTAGATTGATGTTTTCGGAAAAAAATCAACCATAAGCATGTGTTCCCAATTACACATATTCCGTAGCTGGGAACTTGTGAAGTTATTGTGAGATTTCGACAAATTTTAGACTAGGGATGGCTTTCTCTAAAAGCACTATTTGTGTAAGGTTTCACTTTGATGCTTAAATTATATACCGTAAAGTGAAATAATCATATGTTATTCAAAATCTTGATACATGAGAATAGGCGTGGTCACTGTAAATTTGAAATATACGATTTCACCTAAAATTGGGCGTTGGCATGTCTATTGTCAAACTTTTACTCTGATTCCTAAGAAACCCAAGTTGTATTCATGCTTCTAAGGTATTTATTTTGTGAGTTGTCGCAGTTTTATCATCTGATTTCGTTTCTCTACAGACTGTATTACGAGGAGCTTGGAAGACTTGTTCTCAGCAAGTTTAGCTGATTCAGCTTTAGTGGTTTGTGATATAGTATGTAAATACTTGTTAGCGGATGGGGCCACGCCCACTTTTAAAAAAGTTTCAAGCTACAGATGCCCCATCGTACTTCGCGCATCTGCAAAACCAACCTTTCTAGGATACCAATGAACACATATACCAAATTTCATCAAGATATCTCAATTTCACTCAAGCTATTGTATGCACGGACCGACGGACAGACAAACAGTCACTCGGATTTCAACTCCTCTCGTTATCCTGATAATATATATATATATATATATATAAACAACCGTTAGGTAAAAAAAACTATAATACCCAGCAACATGTTGCGAAAGTATACAATTATTGTTAATTTTGCTAACATATTGGCATAAAATCAACGGATATTTTCGATATAAAGTCACCCATAGGTTGAGAGCTCTTAATATTCCGCACTTGGGAGCTTGAAAAACTTGAATATTTTTTTGGTGGGATTAGGGGGATTTGTTACATCTTAAAACACTATTTATGCTAAGTCACTACCCTTGACTAATTTTCATCATTGTGCTATCTTTACTGTTAAATTTAACAATTTAATGCTTTTGAGCTTTCCGTCATAGTATAAAAATAGACCGTGAATACACTAACCCGCAGTGACGTCCCATAACTTCCATTATGAAAATCCGCTGATGTGAGTAGGCTGTGCTCGCAATTGAATCGATAGCCTCCGTAATGCGATGCAGCGCAGAGTCCGTGCCAATAGTTAGATCCGTGCCACAAAAATCATTATCGATGGATCCTACCTGAAAACGATGCATTAGTTATTCAGTTATTCCGTCTCTACATTACATTACACAACTTACCACGCCCACAATATGTAAATCTTTACATTTTTCTCTCTGTTGTGGTGTTATTTGACCTGAAGCAACCAAGTCGTCCAGCAGACCACTCCATTCTTTACGAAATATATTCGCGCCGGTAAGTGAACCATCGCCGCCGATAACAATCAAACGGTTTATTTCTACGTAGGAGTATACAAATCAAGAATGTTCTACTTATACTTATCTATCTGTATGTACCTCTTTGAACCAAATTGTAAGCGGCTTTCTTGCGTCCTTCACGTTCCATAAATTCTTTACAGCGTGCCGAACCGATTATCGTGCCACCCACATGTATGATTGAGGATACCGACGACCATGTTGCTTTGATGAATTGATCGCCGCCCTGCACCATACCTTCATAACCCTCACGTATCATGAAAGCCTTTGGGAATTAGAATGTGAAAAAGTGGCGACCACATTCTCTAGTAAGCTTTAATGAATTTCGCTCATACCTGACAGCCTAAATAGATAGCCATTCGTACGCATGCGCGCACCGCGCCATTCATGCCGCAGGCATCGCCTCCGCTTGTGAAAACCGCTACGGATTGACCCTTATAGAGATGTCTTGAAACCTTCGACATTTTATTAACAATAGCCGATTTTATATCGGGATATTCTTTAACGGGTATTATCTGCAAAGCTTTCGTTTTCAATGACTTTTTCGCTATGAAAATTATTTCTTTTCGAAATGTTTGAAGTTTTTGACATCTCCAAGTTATATTGCCAATTAAGTGAGATACTATTATGTAATGAGACAGCTATTTGACGTTTCTCTATTTTAACGTTTATTTTTTGTTTTTTGTCTTTTATTTATTTAATATCAGCCAAGTGAATATATCCACTGACTTTAGAAAAAGACTTGTAGAAAACTTGTGTTCACAAATTGAAAACTTGAGATAAATACAGAAGGTATTTAAGATCTAAAAAATTGTTCCATCGCAATGATTGAAAAATGTCTCGTTTCTAATGGTCAGTTTAGAGTCAGCTTTGACTAGCATAATTATTGTGAAATAACTTAAGATCAATTAGATTGATTAGTCAGTTCATAAATATTTTACTCTTCGTAACTCTTTATGTAACCTACTCCGAGAGTTACACAACAATTTGTACCCCTTAAGCTTGGGTCATTGTGGGGAGAATATTGTTTAGTATATTATTTTTTCTTTTAGGTTTCACCCACTGAAAAGTCCAGAATTACTGCAGCAATGGAAAAGCCGTCGGAGATCGCATATAACTCTAAAAATATTTAATTTATTTTTTTTAAAGTTTTACTCTAAGAACTATAGAAGCTTAATCTAAATAAACCTCCATAAATGATTTGCTCGTTAATTGAAAGAACACCTTGGTAGTTCTGGTATATAAAGATGCGACTATGACTACACAATATCGACGTCTGGCATTGGAATTGACGACGTATGAATCAAAATAACAGGCAACTTCTTCGACATTTTCTCTACTCCACTGTAATGAGCATAACCTGAAAACGCGGAGAGTTGTCTTTTAAAGTCTACACTCCTCAAACCTTATTTGACCATTATTGTGGCCAGAGTACTCAGATGGAACAAAAATATGGCTTATAGAATGAAAAATGAATGTTTAGCTTACAAAGCTATAAACTACGCAACAGTTCGTATATTCCCAGCATAGAGCTACTCTACGGACAAAGACGGGACGTCTAGTGATAGTAAAATTGTTAACGACCTTATTTCACTATTGCAGGTACTTTTTGAAGTAGAGTCGTAGCTCTGGTTTATTTTATACTCTACCGTTAATAGATACCTAACAACATCGATTTTTTGTTAATGATATATGACTGCTAGTAGGTAAATGTATGTACTTGACCTAAATAGATCTATGTTCGTATATCCTCCGCCTGGCATTAGTCAGCTCTAAAATGTACTCATTCAAAATCGATCTTTTCTTATGGTCCATTACTGCTTTAACAGCACATTTCTTAATCCTTCTGTTAGGTAATGTCAATGACAAAACCTAGTCTTAACAAATTTACGAAATAACCGTGACAACAAGAAAAATTAAAATTGCAAAATTTGGAACTGAAAAAATCTAATCTAACCTAAACGAAACTTCAAAGGTTATGAAGGAATCTACCCTCAGTCCAAATAATGTGGACACGCAATCGTTGACGAAATAACCTTGAACTTATTGATACGATTTTTATTTTATTTAAAATTAATACATGAATATTCTATATAGGAAAGGGATAAGTGAACATATTGCATATGTTGAGACGGGCGGCAGTGCAATTTAATTTTTTTTTATTCGAATTTAGTTTTCAAAAAACTTTGCGAATTTTGCTCTAAACAATGGGAATACGAGTATGAAGATACAGAAGCTATAGACTTAGCAAAAATTTACGAAGGAACTGCAGAGACTTTCCATTTTCCAGACAATTTCGACGGTTGGTATCGGGCAAAATTTTTAACCTGAATAGTTATTGGAATCTACTATAAAACAATACAACAACAGGTTTAACCATTGCTATCAAGGGCGAGTCCATTTTTATGATTTTTATTTGTTATGGAACAGTTGAAATCTATTAAATTATTATTTATTTAAAATTATGAAAAACCAATGGAACATTATGGTATGACATTTGAAGAATGTTCTGTTAAATTTTCATGGAGAAATATTAAAAAATACGGCAATGGTAGCAATTACTCTGGAGCTTCGTGGAAAAAAGTTTAATTGCGGTGTCCCTCATAACCATTGTATAACAGTGTTCCCAAGTCTCAAAAATTTTCTCCCTAAAACTCCAACAAAAACCCCCTAAATTCCCCTAAAAAAATTATTATTAAGATAAATAATAAATTATTATTAATTAAGTTATATATGTAATTATAATAACATTCTTTAACTGAAATTATCAATTATTATTGAATTGCCATATATAATTAAATCTGATCTGCTAAACCACAAAGCAAATTCTTACTTCTTTTTTTAACATCTGATTTTTCACATTTTTCAGTTAAAAATTTAATATTCACAAAAAAGAAAGCCCCTGAAAATGGCCCTCAAAATATAACACCCCTAAAAAGCCCAATTCGACTCTTTAAACGCTTAACCTAAAGATTAAATTTACATTTAATAAGTACATCGCTGATTTAGAATCTTTTGCAAATATTATTTATTAATTAGTACATTGTTTGGATTATTATTACATTGTCGACTTATATTTTTTAATGTTATTACTAGTTATGAAAAGTCCTTTACTTTTGTTGTGCCAAATTGAAAGTAAAATTTTGACAATTGAAATTCAAAACAAACGTAATTGTGTAAATTTCATCGTTTTAGCATAATTACAATTCAAACTTCTGAAATTTTAAAGCTCTTTTTAATGAAACGCTTATTCTTTTGTAGATACTTTAAATCGTATAACAAAGAGAAATCGCTCTGAGTTTGGTGAGAGAACATATAATCAAAATTTTATTAACAATTACCACAACTCTTCGGAGGAAACAATTATTTGTTATAGCTAAAAAAATTTAAATATTTCAAAAGCGAAAATAACTTACTAAAAATGTAAGTATTATCAGCAGACAATTTTTAAAGGAACTGTCAAGAATTTCAATGGACAATCAAATAGGATCATGGACACAAAACTACTAAATAGTAGAGTATTATTATTAAAAAATTATTTATAATTATTAATTATAAGTTAGAATTTTGTTGCAAATCCTTTATTTTTGAGTGCGGCAGCGCACCTTTTCGGCGTAGGTTCCACTAGAGCTTTACAAACTGAATTCGGTATTGGACTTTTTCCCATAGCTCCTCCTTATTTCGTGGTTTAATGGGCTCAACTTTCTCTTAACATTCTTTCACAGGTTTTCTATAGGATTTTAATCCGGAGATTGCGCTGGCCAAATCATAATATCGATTTCTTGATCTTATAGCCAAGTCTTGAACACACCCACTGCGTAAGGAAGCGTTGCATCTTCTATAATTCTAAGGTAGTGATAACGGTCCATGGTTTCCCAACTCCAAAACAATGGTCAAACTCCGTACCACGAAAAATATATTACCACCCCCGTATTTGAAAGCCTTCGTCTTGTATCGGGGATTCATTTCGGCATTCTACGGACATCGTACCTAAACTTTTCCTTCGCTACCTACCTTTGATCGGAACAAAGAATATTCCGCCACTTTTTTGCATTTTCTTCACCGGTCCAATTAATATGAAAGCAAGCTGAAGCAAAAGCAATCCGAACAATCGCTGACTTTTTTGTGAACATTGGGACTTTCTGGGAAAACCTTCCCAGGACATTCTTTTCTAAAAGGTGACGCGCAACAGTTCTCGAAGAAATTTCCATACACAATTCTCTTTGGATAGCTAAAGAGGACTTGAAAACTTGAAAGGATCGCGTTTTGATAAAATCTCTATGTAATTGCCATCCTGAGACGTTGTTTTTCGTGGCGAACCCCTCAATTCGCATTATTTTTGAGGTTCTAAAGCAGTAAATACAAATTTTTGGGATCTTTTTATAATGTTCCCCTTGTGTATAACCCCTTGTGTATAACCGTTATTTTGCAAATTTTTATAAGCTTAAGCTCTACCGTGCAGTGCTTCCCTCGGCTTATTTATTCTACAAATAATACTTACAGAGCTACCATCATGATGTTTTAAAAGATAAATATTTTAGGTAAAACGTAACCGAACTAGTTGTTAATTATTTCGGAAACATATATTGTCGTAACTGTAACGTAAAGATTCACCAATTCTCTACTCGCTAACTTTTTCCTTATCAAACGTTGTACATGCTGAACTTAAAATAACTAACTCTAACAACTGACTCTAACAACTTGTTGTTGTTTTAAGTTCTCTGGTACATGTTAAAGCAACTACAAAGTAAGCGATTGAAATTGGTGCGGAATATGCGGATACCTCAACGTGCGCTTTCTTCAATGCTACCATAGTTTTCAGATTTTAAAAAAGTTTTACTATTGTGAATGGCTGAAATGACACATTACTGTCCAAAATGAGTGTACAAATATTTTTTACAACGTAAAATGAAAAATGCAATAAAACAAATTGCTTATAGAGCATAGATACGTGAGACATGTATCTACGTTATAAAAAATCAAGGGATTAAATTGTATTTGGCTCCACCAAAGAAAGAAACGTGATTTCCGGTAGTCGGGTTGACTTCAACGTAAGAACTATGAGGACGTGCTATCTATTGGACACCCTAATAAATAATAGTGATCCTACTTATAATGAATTTCAACAGATATCTCGAAATACATCATAGGCCTTTCATTTCCTAACTTAGTCTTATCTTACTTGTTAATCATTACATATACATATGTATGTATGTATTAGGGCTCTTAAAACTATTCGAATAATGCGAGTATTTGAATAAATGAAAAATGTTTGAAATCCAAGCAACCTTTGATTTTTGGCATATTGGATTTTTTGAATGAACGCTTACTATTCGAATAGTCGACAACGAACGATTAATCGTATGGTCGACCACTTAGTATTATCCGGATAGTGCAAGCCGAGTATTATTATTCGAATAATGACCTATCCGGTTAGTCGATTAGTTGAATACCAAGAGCTGTATTATGTATGCATAAGGAAGTATAAAGTTTATTAAAATAGTTTTTTTCGCATTTTATACATAAACATATATAATAAAAACTTCTCCTTTAATGTAAGATTGGTGAATGAACTTAGCTGATATCTATACCAAACATTCGTAAAAAACCTATGTCCAATTCTTTTATTTTTTGCACAATTTTTGCTCTTTTTATGTACGAACTGCATTCGCCTTCAGCTTCGTCCATCAATTCCGACCGATATTTTTCATATATTTCTTGGTGATATGGGTTTTCTTTTAAATGTTCATACTATATGTAATGAGAAAAAGAAAGTCAGGTATTAAAGAAGTAAGGCAGGGCTAAGTTCGGGTGTAACCGAACATTTTATACTTTTGAAACTTGCATGGATCAAAGCCTAGGAAGTAACTTAAGGTGTTGGCTAAACTTTATATTAAACAAAAAAAACCGCTAACATTGGTTGCACAGAAGCAAAAATACCCTTCACAACTTCAAAAGATTTCTTACAATAACTTGATTTCGATCACTCGGTTTGTATGGCAGCTATATGCTACAATAGTCCGATCTGGACAATTTTTTCGGAGATTACACCATTATTTTAGACAATAACTCATACCAAATTTCGTAAAGTGGGCTACGCGAGGCGTTAATCCCCATCTGCATTCTTTTACACGTGTAAAGTGCTATAGCTACTTTTTTTATCCTACCCTCCAAGTTTGGTTTCTAAGAAAGCTTCCTGTCTAAAATTAGTCCAAGTAGCTTGCCTTATCTCCTATCGCTAGCCTGGTGCCACTTAATAATGGCGGCGTGGTTTTTGGAGTAATGTCTTTCCTAGTGAACAATACTAGCTCTGTCTTGATAGCATTCAGGTTCAGTCCGCATGACACGGCCCATCCGCATGACACAGCCCATCTACCATCTGAAGAAATACTAATTGGTCTGAAATCCTTTGGATTAGTGTATGAGCTTCCGCCCGCCTTTGGTATATATATCACTTTGACTTTCCTCCATAACGAGGGAATATAGTTTAATTGCAGTGCCTCTTTAAGCATGGTTGTTAACCAATTTTTTATGTAGCTCTGGGACTTCTGTAACTAAGCCGGGAATATCCCGTCTAGTCCCGGCGATTTATAGGGCTTGAACCTGCCTAATTAGTAACAGAAAAGTATTCTCTCTGAGCATTTCTCTGCATTAAGATACCTTACATACCATCACCAATATTAAAAGAGTAAAGTCAACCAGAAGTTCGAAAATCTTTATATCAGGTATTTGGTGGCTAAGAGCAGTATTACAGTTCAACCCAATTTTGACATACCGATAAACTATTATCAGGAAATGATTCTCTCCGAATTTCAATAACAAATCTCACACATTGACCGATATTTTTAACAATTTTTAGATTTGTGGACGTGGTTGTAGGCCGCTTTCGCCAACTGTATCATGGGAATGTTGAGATAATGTTATGTACCGAATTCGGTTAAAATTGGTCGAGTAGGTCTTGAGATATGTGATATCAGCTAAAGAAGGGCGGTGCCACGCCCATCGTCCAATTTTGCTAACGGCTCCAATAAAGCCCTCTGATACCACCCCGGGTGTATAAATTATTGTCTCTAACGCATTAAGTTATTGATTTGTCGTACTTTTAGTAGTTTTTTAACAACCGTTATATGGGAAAGGGCTAACAGAAACATTTGTTCAGAGCAAATTTGGTTGATTTGACTTTGGTGGTTTGGGAGATATGTAGATTAAACCTATAATAACCCACGCCGACTTTTTCCATCCGCATTTGCTCTTCGATTCGTTGTACCAACAGTTTTGTATCTTATCATGGAGCATAGTTATGGCATTTTATATATTTTTAATTAATGGCGTTTTATGTACGTGACAATGGTCCGATTCCATCCATCTGCCATATCAATCGTCTCCTGATGCCAAGAAATATGTGTACTAAGTTTCATTAAGATATCTCCATTTTTACTCACGGACAGACAGTCACACGGATGTCAACTCGCCTCGTCATCCTGATCATTTATATATGTATTAAAACAACCCTACATCTATCTCGATTAGTTTTTAGTGATACAGGCAACCGTTAGGTGAACAAAACTATTACACTTTGTAGCAACATGTTGCGAGAGTAATAAAATATTAAATACTTAACAAAGTAAAACTAACCTGGGACTCAGCTTTAGCTAAAGCTATATTGAAATTACGGTGAACGTCATCAACTGAATTAAACACGCCGAGTTCCTCAAGGGATTTCAATATAATTTTTTTTGCTTTTATCTTCATCGATTGGCATTTTTGCTCGAAATAAAGCTAAATAAAAGTATGTTCCCTTATTAAACATTCGCTTGTACATATATGTATATACATACCATATGTATTTCATTTCGTGATCTATAATATTCCCAAAGTTCTTCAATTTCTCCAACAAGCTTTTGACGCATTTCGTTCATATAATTTTCCGAATAACCCTTAGTTGGTAAGCCTTCAAACTGTAGTAAAAAAATATAAGCACATTTATGCTAAACTTATTATGACAAAACAAATTTCAGTACCACTTCAAGAACTTTCATTTTACACTCTTTGTGTTTAGATAGAAGAGTATTATCTGTTAATACATTTTCGCAAGCATCCTTCATTAGGTCTTCATAATTCCTTTTTAACTGAGACAATTGTAGTTGTAAGGTTTGCTATAAAGGATTTAATACAAAAATTTTGGTATAATGAAGTTAATTATTATTTTTTATTCACACAAGTAAGAATATGTTAAAATTGATTCGAAAAGGACAAAATAATCCCAAGAGCGGAAACGATCAAATCTACAAGGTACAATTTAAAAGTTCCAGGACTTTTTAAACAACGCGGCTGCTAGTGGCGCCATCTGTCTGAAATTGTTATCCCTCAATTGTGTAATCTTCAGTGTTGTCGTATAAAATTTATATAACAGTTGACTTGTGTAACAGCTGAGATATCGCGCTACATGTGACATTACATTTGTAGTGTCGGTCGGAAAATGAGCATCGAACAAAGAGCCAACATTAAGTTTTGTTTTAAACTTGGTAAAACTTTTACCAAAACTCATCAAATGATGAAACAAGTTTATGACGATGATTGTCTATCCCGTAGCCGTATTCACGAGTGATTTAAACGTTTTCAAGAGGGACGGGAGGACTTTGAAGACGACAAACGTTCGGGCCGGCCAAAAGATATTCTGAACGAAAAGAACACTGAAGTTGTGCGTGAATTTCTTTAAAAAAGAGCCGAAATCATCGCTTAAGTATATGGAATCGGAATTATCAATATCCGCAGCGTCAATTTATCGTATTTTGACAGAAAATTTGGGCCTCAGAAAGGTTTGTGCTCGATTTGTCCCACACACTTTGAAGCAACACAAAAAAGACCTCAGAATTCAACATTAAATCTGACCAAAAATCGCATTCATATCATCAACCATGCACCCTATTCGCCTGATATGGCACCCTGCGATTTTTATTTGTTCGGAAAACTATATTTGGCCATGAAAGGAAACAAATTCTTCATACAAGAAATGCATAGGTATGTTTATAAGTGGGTGTCAGGTGTAATAATCCACTTGTGAATTTCAAAAAATCGTCATTTTGTTAAAAATCAAAATTTTGAATTGTGCTTCGATTAATACCTGTATTCATCTATTGATATAATACATATTTTTTTGGTTTTGGAATTTAAGACAATTTTAAGCAGAAAAAACTCCCTTATCGCGGGAGCGAGGGAATCCAAAATGATCCCAAATGATTCATTGTTTATTAAAGGTCCATAAATTTTGTAAATTAAGTTTTCATATAAAAACAATAGTTACTATATAAACGCGTTTTTCCTGACTTGCAAGTGGATATAATCACTTAATTTGTTTAAAAAAAAGTAGGGAAATATAACGGCTACGGCTATTACGCTGTTGCATCCATTTTATTCTTGTGCTACCTACCCATTTAATATCATTTTGTTGTTTGCATTTAATGCAAAGTTTTTCAACAGCCTCTTCAAGTTGATCACGAATCTGTCTATGTATTTCCTCAGTACTGTTCGATCGATACGAATCAAACTGCAAACCATATTGAGAAATATGAAATGTTAACGTATTTTATGTACCTTTGTACAATGTTTACCTGTTGTAGTATATTCAATTTTACATCTTCCATTTTGCTATTGAACTCATTTGGAGGAGTATATTCATTTCCTGTAAGCAAATCATCCATAAGATTCTCAAAATCTTGAATGCATCTATGCATATCGTTTAAATAATTGAGTTCGGCAATATACTAGGAATTAATAATAAAAGCTTATTAGTTAATTGTAATAACACATCGTTACAGAATTTTACCAATTTAGCTTTGTTGATCTTGATAAATTGTGGAAGTCTCGACGAAATAGACTTTTTTATGTTTATGCAATATTTCTTCACAACATGTTCTTTGCCAATTGATGGCGTTTCCGTATATTGCGAAATAGATTCCATTTCATATTCCTCATGCTTTTTGATCAGTTCTTCTTCCGGCATATATGGGTTTTCGGGACTGATTAAGTCCACCATTTTTTTCTCATATGATTCTTCGGCGTTTCTGGCATGAATTTGATTATTGGCCTCTGCAGTAGCCTTAAAAAGAAAATGTACGTGCAATCAGTTTTCAATTTATTCATACATTTTATAAAATGCTAATAAATATATATGTACATATATATATACCTTAAAAATTGTTGTAGGCTCTGGAAACTCCTTGCTGTTGAATAGTTCAAAATATAAACTAATGTATTTTGAAAGATCAGCGACTTTTAGCTTCCGTCCATTTATTTCTTTAATGATTAAATTTTCCGGGGCCAAAATTAAGGGAATCAAGTCGCGTAAATTGTCCTTGAACTCGCTTCGAAGATCTTTTAAACAACCGCAAAAATCCGGTTCTTCGATAGCAAAACCAGGATGTGGCATTAAATAACAATCAATTTCGTTGAAACTAGTTTTCACATTCTCACATAGTTCTTCATTCTCCTTCAATCTCCTGTCTTTCGAAAATAATTTTTGTTGAAGTATTTGTTTACCACCGAGCGCACCGAACGGGGCTTCACTTTTATGGGTCCAGTCGCGTATTAAAAATTGTAACTTTTGAAACGGTTTCCTTCCCGTATTATCCATAGCAATACGAGCATACTCGGTAAATAACTGTAAATGCTGTAGATCGTCCTTTTGTATATTAAATTGAATATTGAAAATTTGAACTGAAGATATCATTGTGCTTAGTGCAAATATATTGGCACAATCCTTCATGGTACTGTCACAATCGAAAGTGCCCTGCGTGTCCATTAAAATTATTGCAACTTTTTCTCCATCTGGAGAGTCATATAGGAAGATCTCAGACCATATTAAAATCCCAATGGTATCGCGTTGCGAACCGCCTCGCCATGAAAATCCTCGTAGTGGTTCATTGTCATCGCCGAGCCAATCGTTATCATCCAAGTTATTATAAACGTACTAAGGGGAGTTTCGAAAGCATTAGAATGTGTATACAATTTATATTTTCTAAGATTTAAAGTAAAGGTGCAAAAGCAAAGAAGATACCCTTAAAAGTATCGGCTGGATTTTTATATCTTAGATGATCGATTGGAAATCTTGTGCCGCATGATTTGTGAATTTAATTCGAATTCGTTTTATCCGACAACTTAATTGATCAATCTTTCCAAATTCTGGTTCGATTATAAACCAAATTAATAAGGAAATGCTAGATAATTGGCGTTTAATATTACATATAAGGAAGATCGAGTGTAACCGAACATTTTATACTCCCTCTTTTTGTACTCTAATAATTTCTAAGGCTCAAAGGCGGGGAAATATTTTCATGTCATTTTCATTTATATTAATTACACTACCTAATATATTACATAACTGAGAATATGTTTCCATGCAACTTTATTAGTATTATAGTCCATTAGAATAACGAAAATCATTTGATATCGTTTAACATATAGGGGCTGGGATAATTCATTGACCGATTTCACTCATTTTCAAAACGAAACTATAGTATATCAAAGATTTTCCGCTCGCTTAATTTTGATGAGATATCTTATATTTTTACCCATATATAAAATATAAAGCGATCAGGAAGTTTGAAAATCTTTATTTAAGCTATACCTGTATGGGGTTCATGGGAAATATTTCTCGCGTTTACTGGAAAATCTTACATCTTGATCGATATTTTCGGTAAAAGACTGTCAAAAGGGGTATTGAAAAGCCATTATCCGATTATGACCATTTTAAGCGGCGAGGCGCCACACCTTAAAGGCACTATTTGCTCGAAATGTTGTTCCAATATCTTTTGGTGCTTGATTTATATATGGTTAAGTGAAAGGTAGCTGATGGAATTTAAAATTGTGTTGGAAAGTATGCGTGGTTAAAGTTCGATTGCCTCCACCGTGACGAGTTGAGTCACTTTAGTCATTTGCATATGTTCTTAGATCTGTTTTTGACCTAGAATTTTGCAAACGTCCTTTTCACCCAAAGAAACTGCACACTTGCCGGAAGCGCCGAATCGGACCATCTAGCATATAGCTCTCATACAAACTGACAGATTAGAATCAAGATAAAGATCTTCATAATAGAAGAAGCGTTTACATATTGCATTATGATTGAATGATAAATGCAAAATTTAATTTTTACTCTATTGTTGATAAAAGATAACACTTACTTTGGCATACATGTAACGTAGAAAGAAATCCAAAAGAAAGCTTTTCCCTTTGCGAAAAGCTCCGGCTACTGAAATCACAGACACTACGCGATCTTTGATTTTTTCGTCCATTAACATCTCATTTAATTCATCTTCATTTAATTGCAGAATGCTAGAGGAATCATTTTCTCTGCTATTGCTTATAATTTGCATTGGTTTTCCTTGCATTTTGAAAACTGAAAATAAATAGCATAAACTGATCTAATTTGTAATACATATTTATAGTGACCTTAACCTATATGTTATACGATCAAGCAATATTGCTATCAAGTTGCAAAACATTCACATTTTTGCCACCCCACTCTCACTTGTTGAACTTGAACCCCATCTTAATAACAATTTTTCCAATCAAGGCTTGTGTCAAGTCAAACCAGTTGATCACATAGTTATGCAAAAAAAGGAAAAACTATGCAATTCTAGGGACTATGAATCTTTCGTAGCATCGATGGACTGATATAATACAGGAAGAAGTAAAATTGAAAAAGGCAAAACATGAGTATTTTGTAAATAATGTAAAATTGTTATTGTATAACGGGATGACCCTTCTATACTCATCTTTTTTATACCCTTAATAAGATATATATATACATATATACTAGAAGCCCGACAGACGTTGTCCTGTCCCACTTCTTAAATGTAAAATATTTGAAATTAGCTGTAACAATTATACCGTTTGGATGAAAATTTTTATTAGACATTTATATTTATCACAATTCGACCAATCGATGGCGTGTCAATATGTTTATTAGAATGCTTTCAGAGATGTTAATTGTAGAAGCTGTATTGAATGAAAACTTGAAGTCGTTTTAATTGATTGTGAAAAGGTTATATATTTATATTTAATCTTAGAGTTAATTATCTACAAAAACTGAAGTTATCGTAATGCCATAGGATGTACAATATTTTTGGTTAATCCTTGAGAGGTATGGTTTTCCTACTCTCGAGCACGCAACGTATAATTGGCCGTGAGAAAAGCACGGATTTTCTAAATCTAATCCACAAATCGTCATTGTTTGACTTTGTGCCTTATTAATAGTCATCGGAAATGCCAAGCAGATGAGTAATTGTAAATGTTTAAATGGGAACTGCGAATCTGAAGGAATCATTGGAATCCATGGCAGAAGTACAACTTCACCTTGAAATTTTCCACCCAACATAGTGGCTTAAAAATGTTGCCCATGATTTTTTTCATTACTAATCCTTGGTCCTTGTGTATTTTTCATAGTATTTTATTTCTACAAAAAATGCTACGTCTTCGCGGAAGAGCAAGAAATATAAACAAATTTATTATTTATTTATTTACATATTTCTTAGTTTTGTATATTCACTATTTTCGTATAGAGTAGCATAGCAGTATGAATGTTTAGACACTATACACCATGCACATGTCTATAGTCCAACTATACTAATGCTATCTTAGAATCTGATCTGAGCACCATCTACTAGGCTCTAATATACTTTTGAATATCTGTCACGACTGCAACGCACTATGCCGCAATTCTATGTAAAACATTCTAACATCTGCGATGGTACCGCAGTATACCGAATCCAATGTAAAACATTCCAAAATTAACAACTACTCATAAATGAAAAATTGGTTAAATAAACATTTTCCAGTGGACTTAAACTCACACAAAAAATTTCAACAAAATCGAGCCAGCCGTCTAGGAGAAGTTCAGTGACATACACACGCACACAAGAAATATATATGTACATATATAAAGATTAAAATAGTTTTTGTTATTGTTTCCATTAAATTTTTTATTTCGCGCAAAATGTTAAGTTCGGGTGTAACCGAACATTTTATACTCTTGCAACTTGCAAGGATCAAAGCCCGGAAAATTACTTCAGGTGTTGACAAAGTTTTAAATTAAAGGAAGTATTGATCCGATTCAACCCATTTTTGACACAAAGACATACTATTATCAAGGATTTCATTTATTTATTTTATTATCTGAATTTCAATTATATATCTTACACATTGACCGATATTTTCGGTAGAAAGTCAACTGGGGTCCACATATTCAGTACCTAGGGGCTTGAATAGTTTTAGTTAGATTTAGACAATTTTTGGTCACAAGGTGGCATACTTTAAACGTATTACTCACGCAAAGTTTTACCCCGGTACAATCATTGTTGCTTGATTTGCATAGTGGAAAGTGAAAGAATCAGATGAAATTTAAAATGGGCGTGGTTATAATCCGATTTCGCCTATTTTCGCACTATAACATATAAATATGAGAAAGTGGGCGGTGCCACGACCACTGTCTAAAGTCATCTCATACCATCCCAGAGATAAAATTTAATGTGTCTGGCGTTTTTAATGCTTGATTCATCGCGCTTTTAGTAGTTTTTAACAGTACCGTTACATGGGGGCTGCAATACCAACCATCTTACGGTACCAAGAAATATTTGCACAAAGTTTCATAAAGATATCTCAATTTTTACACAAGTTACAACTAGCACGGACGGACAGACTGTCACCCGGATTTCAACTCGTCTCTTCATCCTGATCATTTTTATATATATAACCCTATATCTAACTCGATTAGTTTTAGGTGATACAAACAACCGTTAGGTGAAAAAAACTATTATACTATGTAGCAACATGTCGAGAGTATAAAAATGTAACGAAAGCGTTAAACTTCATTGTTCGACGAAATCGGGAAAGAATTACAATCACAATTATACTTAAATCATCCCCAAATGAGAAATATGTGATATAAACTTAACCGAAGAGACTAAATTTAATATATAATATTAAGTTGTGACAAACGTCAACCAAATAATCGGAATTGATATTAGGAATGTGAGGTTTAGACCAAAACCCAGTTTTATTTCTATTGGGTGCCAAACCATTAATATTATTGTATAACTTTTAAGAAAATGTGTCAACTTAATTTCTCACATTTTGGCCAACCCACGGTATTGGGGACAGAGAAATCATAGGACTGATTGCATTAATTTTTGACTTTTCTCAGGTATACTTGAGAACTTATTTTCAAAAAATTTTATAAATATATGTACATATAAATATAAACATATATAGTCAGCCGGATGTTTAAAAACCTTGAACATCGATTATATGGGGACTAAGATAAGTTTTTGACAAATGAGTATATTAATATAGAAGAAACATCTTCCTTGAATCTCACAAATTTACCGATATTTTCGACAAAAAGTCAACCATACGCACTGGGGTCCACTTAGTCAGTATGTGGGGGCGTGAACAGTTATGGTCCGATTTTGACAATTTTTAGACACGAAATGGCATACCTCAAAGGCCCTATTTATACAAAATTGTATCTGATTATATTCATAGGTGCTTGATTTGTGCACTGGTAAGTGAAAGAATCATATGGAAATTAAAGTTGTGCTAGATAAGAAGTAGGCGTGTTGTAGTTCAATTGCCCCCATTTTCACAACGTAACATATGATTGGTCGAGTAGGTCCGGAGATATGCTGTCTTCGATTCGTGGTCGAGAGTAGTGAATCGAACTAACTATACCGGTAGGTCGGACAAACTGATAACCTTGCGGTGTAACCCTGCGCTAACATGCCTTCTATCGCATAGTTTTATTTTCTATGAAAAATTATAATTTATTTAGCGTTAAGTTTTACTGAGAGTAGCGCGCAAACATATCCCACAACTGTCAATTTTAAACAATTTCGACAAGTATTGTACTTTGTGTGATCAAGTTGAAAGCAATATTATTGAAACGGATTTCTCGATAAACTTGTATCTTCCTGCTAATGTCTCAATTGCGCTTAACACGATAACACTCTAACTAGAACTGTGTTTGGTACACAGTCCAGCAGCCCTTATATAGTAAATATTTAACAAGAGTTCGCTACTAGAACGTTTTGACAACTACGAATTCGCTGTCTCTTCGTCCATATCATCATTCGCTGCTTAAAAGAAATTGTGACCTTTACATTTCTTTACTATTTTTTAGTAACTAGTTGGATATCCAACTAATTTGGCTGTTGTTTCTGAGCTTATAGCTTCCCATTCTTCTTTAAGCGTGTCCTCGCTGGTTATAGTAAGCTGCTAATTTTTCACTTTAGTGCTGTGTGCTTCGGATCGTTGTCTTGTTGGAAAATAAATCGTTCACCTAGTCCCAACTTGACTGAACTTTCTTTTAAATTTGTTTTTAAAATATCAAGATGACAATATTTGTTCATTATCGACTCAATAAACTGAAAATTTGCAACGATCAAACTTGCCATTGAAACCCACATCATAGCATTTCCACCACCATGCTTTACCGTAAGTACGAGATTTTGCTTATCCAGTGCTGTTCAACTTTTCCTCCAAATAATTCTACATCCTTTTCTTCCAAAGATACAGATCTTACTCTCATATGAAAATATAACGCTTTTCCAAACTGGAGACTTGTTTAAGTGCTCTTTTGCAAAGGCCATCCTCTTAAGTCGATTTACTCTCGATATGTAGGGCTTTCTACGTCCACTCTGCCACGAAATCCGGATCTTTTCAGAACTTTTCGTACTGTATCTGAACATAATTTCTTTTGGTATTTAAATTCGATGTCTTTTGAAATTTGGCTTACTGTCAGTCGTGGATTACATTTCAGAAGAGTGGTTATATTGGGCTCTTCTCTTTCACTTAGTTTTTTTGGACACCCAGATCGTGGCTTAAACTCATGACATTTTGTTTGCTTGCAATTGCTTAACATTCTCTGGACTGAGTAGTACTATCTCTCAACAGTTTTCGAGATTTCTTAATAACTTTAAATATTAAAATTGTTCTAAAAGACTTGTACTTTTCATACAACTAACCATCGATATCTAAAGTGAACGCACACTTTCTCTGCTTAACCCACTTAAATAGCGGTACTAAAATCCCGTAAACTGAGAACGCCGCAACTAAAATTATAAAAAAATTTTGCCCATACACTCATCGAAGAATTGTCCTCAAAACAATAGAAAAGAAATTAATGAACTTTTAATTTGCATATATTTTTTTGTTGAATGCTTAAATACAGCAGTGGGTGAACGCAGTACTACTGTATGTACATAAATAATTAGAAAAATTCACTTCCCGCTCACTCATTTGTAATCTTCGCGTCAAATAAGACGAATTAAAAAAATATTTTCATTTTTGAGGTCTCCTTCGTTAAGGGACCAAAACTATACATTTACCCATATTTCAATATACATATAAACACACACCGATCGAAAACACTTGTATATCGGTTATGACCACTTTTGTTAGTATAATAAATTAGCGGTGGAGGCCACACCTTTTAAAAGAGTAAAAACGCGTGTACTGATAACCTATTGACTCTTTCCTGGCTGATTCTTAGACTTGTTCCCCAAAACTAAAAAAATTATCCCATTATATACTTGCATATGTATATAGACACTATGACGATTTCTATTTCAGTAGAAAATAATATTTCACCTCTCTTTGTGCCGATCTACTTTTCAACATAGATAAAATGATCCGAAACTCCTTTCTTGTCTTCTGAGAGAGCTCATGAACTTTCAGTGTTGCCGAAAAAACCACGAATTCATGAGCTACTGAACAGATGACAATCAAAACAATGAACTACCACTAAGAATCCCGCAGAAATAAATTGCGAAATCAGTGGGTAATTTGTGAGATCAGATTTTTAGGTGACTTTCTAATCTTTATTTAAATAGTTTTGTTTTTAAGAAAGAGAGGGTATTTTGTCGCAGAGTATTGTTTTGCTTAGCAGTACCAATTGTTAGGCTAGAATTCCCAGCATATGTTATATAAACTTTGACTTCCGAATAAATTATCAAAAGATATTTGTTTATTCAGTATATTAAAACTAAGTAATGTTCATGTTTAGCTTATTTAAAACTTGAAAGTTTTTTGATATATTAAAATTAGTTATAATAATTAATTAGAAAATCTTTTGTGATTAAAATATACACGTACATATATTTAGAAGTCATATAGGATATCTAGCTTGTTAAACTAATTTTAATTATGCATATTTTTCTGTAAAATGGAAACCGAAAAATGCCTAAGAAATACATTAAAAAATCTCAAAACGTATTTCTTTCACTAGTGGCACCATTATCAAATGTTATAAAAAATGTGGACTTTGACAGCGCTCTCTCAAATCAGAGAGTTCAAATCATTTTATCCATGCTTTTCGATGAAACGTAAAACAAACCATGGAATAAGGGAGTAGCGAAAATGACCATTCACAGTACATACTCAGGCGTACGTTCACAATAAAACCAACATGGCTGCTTCTGGTGAGTTAGGATGGCAAGGGGTTAAATCGTAACACTTTCAATTAAACAACGCAATTTGTTTGCGCAAAAATCGGTTAGTTTGTTAATGTAAAATGAAATGTATTGACAAATTTGAAAACAAATCTCCAGCGTTACATCGTAGATTATGTATAAAAATATAACTTTAAAACCGTGAGTTGTGGTAAAAATTCTTTAAAATTTTGATCTGATTAAAATGTTCAAAAAACAAGTATAAAAATGCATATGATTAGTTAATTTTTCGAAGAAAAATAAAGAAAAATCCAACTCTCCTAAAATACTTTTTAAAACGAAATACTAATAATACCGCAAATCATATACATAGATTGAAATAACTAGTCTGGTCTTAAAAAAAAACTTGCAACTGTTCCCAAAATTAAATCAGCTGTCTTCAAATTAACCTATTACTCAACATTTTGCGCTCCAGCACATAAATTTCAGAATAAAAACGCATTTATATAAGAAATTCAGTGTTTATAACAGAATTTAAATAATTAATAAGCATAAAATGATACGCCGAAAAACATTCTTGTTAACACAACTACAACATGTGTTCACCAAGCGTAATATTTCATACAAAAATTTGTTAGCGCTTAAAGGACGTGGTTTCTTTCAAGACATTTTTCCCGATACCGCAAAGTAAATGTTTGTACGAATTTAATTGGTTTTTATATAAATATATTACAATTTAATTTTCATTACTTTTAAAAAGTGAACAGATGAAAGCGCTCTTCACAAGCGGTCCGCAAACTATATACGCCGGCTTTGATCCAACAGCTAATAGCTTGCATGTGGGCAATTTGCTGGTGATAATGGGCTTGCTGCATTGCCAGCGTGCCGGCCACAATCCCATTGCACTGGTGTGAGGCATCAAATTACATACTGATTATGTGAAGGCAAATATTACCCTAATTTCTTGGTATTTTAGGTGGGGGGCGCTACCGGCTTGATTGGCGATCCAAGTGGACGCAAAACAGAACGCAATCAAATGGGTGAAACCGAAATTGAAACCAATTTGAAGAGCATAAAAAGTCAATTGAAGCGTATATTTAAAAATCATCAAGACTGTTTGTGGGACGATAAAAAATATAAGCATAAGCTTCCTGAATTGTGGTAAATATCTATTATTTGTTATTAAATTTAATATTTCATCGTTCTTTGTTTAAAGTGTCGTCAACAACGCCGACTGGTATGCGAATATCAATCTCATCGATTTCATAGCCAACATGGGTCGTCATTTCCGTATGGGCTCCATGCTATCACGATCATCTGTACAAACGCGTCTGGAGTCCGAGTCTGGCATGAGTTTTACAGAGTTTACTTATCAAATTTTCCAAGCATACGATTGGTTGCATTTATGTCGTGCCTATAATTGTTGTTTTCAAATGGGCGGCTCCGATCAGATGGGTAATTTGATGACGGGGCATGAGTTAATAAGTCGTGTGGTTAAAAAGCCGGTCTTTGGCATGACATTACCATTGGTAACAAACGAAGAAGGTGATAAATTTGGTAAATCTGCAGGAAATGCTGTATGGTTAGATGAAGAGAAGACCTCTGCGTTTGCGCTGTACCAATTCTTTGTGCGCATGCCTGATTCCGAGGTTGAAAAGCTATTAAAACTATTCACATTCATACCGCTGCCAGAAGTTGAACTGTTGATGCGTGAACATAAAAAGGAGCCAGAAAAACGTAAAGCACAAACTCTACTAGCCGAAGATGTGACACTGTTAGTGCATGGAGGTAAATGCTGTAAATTACGTTGTGTATATATATTTTATTGATTTATTTGCAGAAAAAGGACTTAAGCAGGCTGAGCGCATAACCGACGCATTGTATAAAGGTAGTGTGGATGCCTTAGGTGAACTCAATTACGAGGAGGTGACACAGACATTCGCTGGTGCCAAAGTAGTTGACTTATTAGCCGAACCGGGCATGTCAATGCTGCAATTGGCAATGAAGGCAAAGTGTTTCAATAATGAAAGTAAGCAGAATTACAGCCAAATTCACAAACATTTATGCAACATATATATTTAATTTATAACAGGTGATGCGATGCGCATTATAGGCGCCGGCGGCTTTTACATTAATCAAAAGCGTGTGCAAAATATCGCTGAAATTATTTCGCAGGGCATTCATGTGCTGAAAAATGGACTCTCGCTGTTGCGTGTGGGGAAAAAGAATTTCTACATTGTGCGTTGGCTCAAATAGTCGGATATACAATTAAAGGTACAACTGTATGCTACATTTGTAAAGTAGACTAAGTTATTGAAAAGTTAGTCGAATAAGTTGTTTCAGTAAAATAAATATTTTAATAATATTTCTAACTACAATATCAAACGTTAAAATTAAGGTTTCGGTCCTCGAGCACCTGCCGGCTTACGCCAACGTTTACGCGCAAGCAGATCCTTTGCTTTCTCCTTTTTTAAATTTTTATCGTAGAATTTACCGCTCTTCGTAAATGTTTTCTGTTCGTTACGCATTTCAGCTAATTTTCTATTTTTTTGTTTCAATATGTTTTTCTTATTTGCAGACTTCTTTTTGCCCGCCTCTGAGAATTGCACTTTAATCGTACGTCCTTGCAACATCGAATTGTGCAGTTGAAAACCACGTTGATAGCCCTCAAGATCAGCCATTTCCACAAAGGCAAAACCACCGCATCGCTTCTTTGGTATGCGCACACCTTTCACCGCACCAGCGTTTCCGAAGTGCGACTCCAAATCGGATTTAGTCGTTTCGAAATTTAAATTTGTCACATAGAGCACGTGTCGATTGGCTTTTGCTGCGCCACGCATTAACGCACCCAACTGTTCTTTTGTCAAATTGGTTTTCACTTCATCGGTGTCCTCTTCGTCGCTTTTGCTAGCGCCATTTGCTTGTGTTGCACGGGCATCTTTCTTCGCTTCACCATTTTCTGTAGCTTCTTCCTCATTTGTCTTTTCGTCATCGCTATGTTCCTCCTCACCATCGCTGGAATCGGTTGCTGTCTCTTTTTCTATATAGGTGCCATTCAGTATTTCCTGTCGTTTGATATCGTCAAAGTTGCCCAGCAAATCAGCCGTCTCGTCATTTACTGTGCGCCGTACACGCTTTGGCTTCACAAACTCTTCAACATTATAATCACTATCGAAGGAATCGTTAGCCATTTGAGTATTTTGGGTTCGATTTTCTTTCAGGAATTTTCTAAATAAGTTATGCGCCCCCGTTTTCTTCAATATTTTTGTGCTTCGAATCAAAACATGTGTTGGTATGTCAGTGGTTGCAACTTCTTTCAACTGTAACTATTCACAATAATAAAATGTCTGAAATTATTGAAAATCTTTTAATTATTTATTTATTTTTATTTGTGCTTTATATAATTATTTTTATTGGTAGCACGTGTTTATTGTACTTATCAAATATGTCGAGAAACTTGCAAGTTCAAAATAGTTTTCTCAATACGCTATTGTGAATGCGCGCCGCTCAAAGAAGTTGCATGTATTTTTTGGCCCGCCAGCCACCTGTTCCTGGTCGCCTGGTAGAATTGCAGATGCTGGAAGTGTCATATTTCTATGACGCCGGCAGCGCTGGTGTGGCTCCGGCTTAAAGTTGCATACATTTAGGCGCAAATTGTGAGATGGTAACGGCATGCTGGTGCGGGTTTATTTATGTATTTATGCGGAAATTAGTTGAAAAATATATTGTAATATATTTTTTATGGTTTATTTTTACGAAATTGTAATGTTTAATTATATTTTATTTCTGTCTTATTATAATATTTTCTTAATGTTCCATATTTACCTAATATTTTGCCTGTATTTGCTAATTTAATTTTTCTTTTTAAAACTAAAATTAAAAAATGGTGTTTATTTTTTAACAATCATTTTGATTTTATTGATTACGCATGGATAAGTATTTTCTTTCACTTATGCCAACGGGTTTGCTGTTCTTTTTTGTGTGTTTTAAATTTTCTGCGCTCACCCGCTTTATTGGTTATTCATTTGTTTTCTAAAATAAATTTCTTTCATCTGTATTCTTGTTTGTGTGTGTGGCTATGTACTATGTAGTATGTGATTTTAGTATATTTCTTATAGTATGTGTGTTGTTGTGTTGTGTGACCCACTTTGTTTTTTCATTTATTGTGTTTTTTTTTATATATTTAAATATATGCACACACAAATGTATATATGATGCTAGCTGCTATTTAATATTCTCATTATTGATAATAGTTAACTTAAGTTGTTTTCTATTTAACTCACTACAGTAGCGGCTTATCTTATTAAACCGACAGTTTTCCACACGATTTTATTTATTTTTATTAATTATTATTATTTTTTCATTATAATTCTCAAAAACTATTGCTATTGCTTGCATTTGAACATGTACATATGTATTCTCCGCTCATTTTTTTAATATTGCGCCAACTTGCCAAGTGAAATATAAAATAAGTTTTCTATTAAACGGTACTTAACGGTTAAATAAAGTACTAGTGTTGAAAGTGTTAGTGTTTAACCTTTAAAATCCACGCATTTAACTCCCTACATTTTCCTTAAATTTAAGCGTCGCAACAATTTTCACTAATCCGTCTCCCGAAACCAGACGCTACCACTACATTTGTAGGTGTTTATTTGTATGTTTTAGTGTTATTGTTAAGTTACATATATATATATATCCATATATATGTATGTATGTATGTATGCATATAGTATGGCCATTTCAATTTGTTAGTTGAATGCTTTCAGTTATTTATTACTAAAATATTGTACAAGTATAATTTTCTTTTCATTTTTTAATATATATATTTTTCATAACGTAAAACTTCGACCTTTTATTGTTTATAGTTGTTTTGTTTTTGCAGCATACTTATAACTAGAGATTAAATTCATATTTTCACTTTTCTCATTAATCGTTTACTTCATTATGTAATTTATCACACATATTTATGTATTTAAGACAAACTGTAATCACTACTTTTGTTTTAGAATTAAATTTCATATCTGCTTTCTTCAAAGACATTCTTTTTAACTGCAACGTACTACTACATAGAGCGTTTACAACTGCTACTAGCTGTAGGAGGTGTGTCTGCATTTTTCATTTAGAAGAGGGCTTTAAACAATGTTTTAATTTCATAATAATGTTTAAAAAATTTTTTAAATAATTTTCTTGTTTTACTTAAAGTAAAAAGTATTTAAAAAATTTCAAGCGAACGATTAAAAAAAAATAGTAGCCAATATTTAATAAAAATTAGAAAAATATTTTTTTTCTGAAAACGAACAAAGAGCTACAAAATAAATAAACCAAAAAAAAAGTGTTTACGATCAATTGTTAAAATGTAGGGCCAGTAAAAAAAAGAATTGAGCTTAAATAAAACAAATTGAGCTCAGATTTTAAAAAATGTTTAACTTCAAAATACCGATTTTAAATACTTTTAAGAACTTATTTGATTGTTTAATTTTTTTATAGAAAAGTTTTTCATGTTTTAATATTATAAGAATTAACATTTTTTTTTACATAAAAATTATAAAATAAAAAACAATTACACAATATGAAAAAATATTTAAGTAATTGAATTAAAATATTTTTTTTTTTTGGATATTTGATAAAATCTTGGGTATTGAAAAATTAAATAAAATAAATTTAGCTTGTGAATTTTTGTAAAAAATATGTTTTAGTAAAGCTCTCTGTGAAAATTTTGTTGAACTCTGTTTAAAGTAGCAACTTTACTAAAAAAAAATTGTGGAATATTTGTATTGGTAAGAATGTCGATATTATTATTTGTTGTCTACGGTCCTTTTGAAATTTGAATTTTAAGTGAAAAAATACTCTTACTCTGTTATTAAGATTTTTTATGCAAAATCTATATTTTGTTTTTTTTATAAAAATAGTAGAATAATAAAAAAAAATTGGCTTCAAGTTTTTGACAACGAAAAACTAGTTCTAGCATAATTAAAAACTTTAAGTATTTAGGGTATTGATGATATTGTTGATATCCTTTAAGCTTAAGGTCTTTTTTTAATTATTAATGTTAAGTGAAAAAAATATATAAACATCAAAAATAATTTTTTTCTTTGCTTCAAAAATAATTTTTTTTTGCAATAATCCACATAATTTTTCCATAAAAATATAAGAATAACAAAAAAAAAAAAATGGCTTTAAGTGTTTCAAACAAAACTTTAACCCTAAAATATTTATAAGGCCAATAATGTTTTTTGGAATTCTGCGAAAGATATTTAAAATTCAGTTTTGTTTTATAATAATATATTTGTTTCAACAATAAATTTAAATCTTCTATAAAAAAATATTTAACTAAACTATTTCAAAAACTTTAAATAAACACAAATTAAATATATATATATTTTTTAAAGATTTGAAAGTTTTTATAAAACGAGAAACTTATTATATTCTCATATTCAGAAAATATTATTATTTTTATTTAATTTTTCTCAACTAATTCACAATTCGAAACTATATTTTAGTAAAAACAATTTTCAGTTAATTTCGACATACATTTTTATGCATATGTGAAAGTCATTAACACATACACATTTATTATTTTTAATTCTGGGCGTGAATTAATAACAGAAAACTACAGCAACACCGACAACCCCCTACTATTATATCATATACATATGTATGTCTTTACACACAAATTTTTTTATAAAATTAATTATTGTTTATCGACTTTTAAAAAGGCGGCGGGGATATGTCACAAAAATTAATAAGATCTCATTGCTACTTACTAGAATTAATTGTTTAAACTACAAATATATAAAATACATATATACACACACACACGTATGGTATGTAGATATACATACATATAGATGTACAGCTACCACATAAGTATGTGTGTGTGTGTTAGTGGTTATATTGCGCATTTAAAATAAATAAAATTAATATATATGTATATATATATTTATACATATATACATTTTATAGCATAAACACAATTTGTTATTTGTAAGCATTTAATTTTATTTAATATCGTAGTATATTTGTAAAGAACACTTGATTGATCATATGCAATTATATACATATGTACACAAATATATGTGTGTATATTTCATTGTTAACTAATAATTAATTAATTAATGTTTAATAGGTATATGCAACACGTGGAAGTAATTGGGGGGAATCATGAAACTATAATATTAAATCATACACACTAAAATATTGCATTCTCATTATTGTACGCATAATTATTATTTAATTACTTTATAAATTACTTATTAGTTTATTAATAATTATTATTTTTATATATTTTTTATACATAAAGATCACTTGTTTCATTAATCATCGAATATTGTAAATGCAACACGCTCATATCGTATCACAGAAATGCTTACATACACACACACGCACGCACACAAATAAATATGTAATCCATTGCGTGGAAAATAAAAATAAATAGTGAACATTTTACTGAAAAAGAAAAAAATTCAATGTTGTGTTCAAATTTAATTTTATGAATATTTGATAAAAAAAACAAATTATTTTATATTATTATTTAATCAAAATTTAATTTCAAAAAAATTGTTTCATATTAATATTTAACTAAAAAAAATTTAATGTGATGATGATTTCATAAAAATAAAATCATTTGATATAAATTTTAGAAAAAAAGAAATTTATTTAGTATAATGATTTTATAAACAAAAAAACAACAAACAGTTATTTTAAATAATTATTAGAATGATATAATGATAGCTTTTTTTATAAAAAAAAACAGTTATTTAGTATAATAATTATTGTATGAAAAAAAATGTTAATAATATCATTTTTAATTACACTTTCAATAATAATTTAAATTAATTCATGTATAAAAAAAAATAATAATAATACTAAAATAAAGTACAAGCGCGATTAAATGAAATTTCAATTTAATTTTCCTTGTAAAAAAATAAAGAATTTAAAAAAGTTTATTTTTTTTAAAGCAATAGCAACAAAAAAACACTTCAAATGAATGAGTGTTAACAAAAAAAACATAGTTTTTTTTTTTATAAAAAAAGATGATGTAAACTGTTTACATATACAAATAGTACGAATTGGTGTAAAAATTTTAACAAAATTTTCACTTTGTGTTCACAGTTATTTCAACAAATTGTCTTTTTATGCATTTTTTACGCAATATTTTTAACAATCAATCATTTAACACAATACTTAAGTGTATTTTTTGCTCAGTAAAATGTCGTGAATTACGAATTTTAATTAACTTTTTATCAAATAATGTAAACAAAGAATAAGCAAATTCAATATTTTTTTTACAACTATGCAAGAATTGAGCTTTTCATACAGCCACACAAAAAAATCTACACAGTTTTTTTCATATTACTAAAATTATTATTGAATTTTGTTTAAAAAATACGAAAGAATCGAAAAAATAGTTTATTTATAGTAAATATTTTTTTTCTAATTTTAGCAACCTAAAATTTGTTTAATATTTGAAATACTTTCATTGAAATAATGAATAGGGGTTCAATAAATAAAAATATATATTTTATCGTGTGCTATCTCTGCATCTTCAAGAGTTACCTAACATCAAAGTTATGCCAGAGATCTTCACCATCAGAGCACTACAACCAGAAAAGTTCGCTGTCGAATCTGCACCATCTCATGGTTCTAAGTTATCTGGTTTTACATATTTGAATTATATTTGGTTGGGTTGACACTTGGTACAAATGCTTTCTTTGGAATTTTCGCAATACTCTTTTGTATTTCAATATTGAATTTTTTATGAAATCAAATTATAATTTTTTTTTATACTTTAACCTATAGAAATATAAATCGATAATTCAGCAAAAAAATTCAAAAATTTTATATCGGCCTTTAAGTATAGTCTTAATTTTTAATCTTCTCTTTTCTCTGATTTTGAAATGTTCTTGTTGCTTTTACTCAGAGGAGCATTTTCATTGTATTCAAAAATATCAAATTCCCCAAAGAAATTAATTAATAAATATTAAATGAAGAAAAATAAATTTCAACATAACCATAAATTCAAATAAGTTATACACGACAAAAATATAAGAGGAATAATGGAAATTTTTCCGTATGAGCATTGTAAAATATTACCATCAATTTAGTTGCTACTTCAAAATAATATTTTAATCATTTAAGAATTAATATTCATTAATCTCGTATTAAACTATTTATAATGTATATTTCTTTGAGTGAAACCAAAAATATAATAAATTTGCGCAAAAATAACCAATAAAAATTAAATGTTGTTACTGAAGATTAATGATAAAACACAACCAATTTGGCGTTGAGGAGTTAAAACAATTGTAAAACAAATGAATTTGAGTAAAACATTACTTTACAACACAAAAGTGAACAAGTATCTTCATTTATAAAAAATACAAATCCATAAAAAGATACTAACATTTTTTAATTAATTTCAGCAAAATTTTCTATTTTATGCAAATTAAGCTTCGATTAAATATTTTTTTTGTTTAATTAAATTTATTTCATTTAATTTTAATATTTTTTATATTAAGTTTTAATTGATTTTTTATTATGCAATATTCTTTTATTATTATGTATTATATTAAAAGAAGTTAAAGTATTACTTATACAAAATTTTATTGAATTTTGCATTGCTATATTTTTTATAATTATTAATTAAACAATTTATTTTTATTTTCATTCAATGTCGTTGATTTTTTTTGCTATTATATTTAACGCAACTCTTCTTCTTGTTTTTAGTTCTTCAAAAATATTTTTTTATTTAAAAGCTTTTGTCTAAAATCTCATTTTTTATATTTTTATATTTTTGTATTTATTATTGTTAAATAAATTTAATTTAACTTCAGATTTACAGCAAATATTATATTATGTTTTAGCAGTCTTTATTTTTTATGTTATTTATTTTTATTAATATTACTATTATTATTATAACTAATGTATTTCTTTCATTTTTATTATTATTATTATAAAAATATTTATTTTATTTTGGTTATCATTATTTAATTAATTGTAAACAAAAAAAAAAAAATGTTTAGCAATTGTATTTATTTGTATTTTTTATTGTTATTATGTTTATTTTATTTTTATTATTATTATTATTATTATGAAAATATTTGTTCTACTTTGATTAATATTTTTTGTTTTTTTTAAATTAAATTTATAAAGCTTTTGTAAAAATAAAAACAATGCTTTTACTTTGATTAATATTTTTATTTTTGCAATTAAATTTATAAACTTTATTGCATTATAAATTTATTATTTTCTTATACTAAATTTTATTTTTATGTTATTTTACTTCGTTTTTTATTTTAATTGACTCTTTTCAATGTTGAATTTTTATTAACATATTTAATTAATTTCTTATATTTATTTTGTTTTAACTTATTTAATTTAATTTTTTTCTTTCATTATTAGTATTATAGTTATTTTATTTTAGATTTTATTTTTTCTATTAAATTATATTTAATTTTTTATTTTATTTTCTATTTTTTTTTTATTATATTCTGTTTTTTTTATTATTTGAGTAAAAAAAAAATTCGTCTCTGGATTTTATTTCATTGATTAACCACTCTTAAATATTTGACATAAGTTTACTTCAAATAACAAAAAATATTACATTCACGCACATACACACGTACATACGAAATGGACCGATATTAGCGTTTGCACACATATATTCACATTTCAACAAATAATTTAATTACAGCTACCAATAAATTTCTATAATAAAAATCTAATGAATGGAAGCGAATGAAGAAAATAACCAATAATAGGCAGCTAACAAGAGTAATATCCCGAAGAGCAGTTGTTTCCGAAAGAATAAAATTATAAAATACATAAAAAAAATTAAGTTTTAACAACTAAATATAAAAAAATTCACATTAAAAATATTCTACAGTTTTCTTAGCTTTTTAATAAAAAAAAAATTAATTTCTTAGTTAGTTTCAATTTTTAAATATAGACCATTTAGGAAATATGCTGAAGCCATAATAATATAATGTTAATACTCAAATGTTTTAAAGAAAATTGCGCATATAGTATTGCCAATGTCATTTATAAGGATTAAAAAATTATTATTATTTTTTATGATTGGCATATTTATATAAATAAAAAATAAAAAAATTTGGAAAGAAAAGTTTTCAAATTTTAAAAAGCTTTCTATGCTACTGTCAGCTTTTTGCGCCACCATCCAATACACAGACACAAATACACACAACAATTACATGTACATATGCGACACGACAACTTCCCCACTAGATAAGCCACTTGCCTGCAACTCGATCATTCTGCACTGCCTCACAGGCGAAGCAGCTGCGTCTGTCATTTGAGTCATTTTAAAAATTAAATTGTTTTTGTTGTAATTAAATTTGCAAATTTCATTTCAATTTGTATTGTTTTTCAATTAAAAAATATATAATATGTATATCGTATTGTATGTTTATGATACTAAAAAAAAATATATATATACAATATATATATAGTATATGTATATATAGTAAATGTATATTTAAGTAATATTTCTAAAATAAATAAAATTACACAATGTGTTTTGTATCGAATTGTACATAAGGTATTTAGTTGATGAGCATGTGTGAGTTGTATGCAGGTGTGTGCATAGAGGGGAGGGGCGCCTGTGTTCGATTGTATCATAGATGGGGGCAAAATAAGAGTGAGAGTGTATGGTGAATGGTTTGGGGGGGGCGGAGCGAGTAAGGTGAGAAGTGACGATAAATATTTAGATGGAAAACGAAAAAGTGTGACATGGACGCAGTAGCGCACTCATTTAAATGGTTAACATAGAAAATAAAGTGTTGAAATTGTAGAATATTGTTGTTGTAATTAAGATATTTAATATTGCTGCTATTGTTGTTGCCAGCAAATGCAGCACGAGTGGTTGGCTTCTCGCCCAAGGAGCTGAAATCATAGTTTTTCTGCTTGCTGCGCCCATTCATATCACTTTTGTGCCGCCTCAGCTCGCTGGTTGACTTACTTTTGCCCGCCTACTAATTATAACTGCAGTGCCAGTGTTGCAAACGTAAACGCAACTGTTTCCAAAGTAATAAAAAATAATGATGCGTTTGTGTGCGCACTGCTCGCACCAACTACTAAATCTTATTGCTGCCGCTGCCGCTACCGTTATTGTTGTTAGTTGTTATTGTTGTACTATTTGTTGTGCTGACCGTTGCGGCGATGACATTTATGTTGCTGCCATTGCTGCTACCGCTGCCACTGCCGCTGCTGTTACTGTTGTTGTTGCTTTGGTCTTGTCGTGCGCTATATTTGGGATTTGTTGGCATAACGGTGTCGGTGACGAGATCATTAGGCGCCTCCAAAACGCCCTTGGCGTGTGCCGCAGCCGTATCACAGTCGGTGCGGCGTGAGATCAACAAGCGTATATCAGTGTGCAGTGAGAGGCGACCCGACCGCGACGTTTGGAATCTGCAAAGTGTTCGAGAGAGAATGTAGCACAAGTGTGGCAGAGAATGTTTTAGCGCAGTGTATGATTGGTTTGCCAGTAACGCGTCAACTTTCAGAGGACCAAAAGTAAATTTTGATTTTTAATAAAATTTCTAATTTTTATTGGTCAAGTTTCCCTCTAAAACATCAATAACTATGTTTATATTTACTAAGCTCTCTTACCTTAAATGTATGGAATAACGTAGGCGTTTCATATTCTCCGCGGATATAAAGTGTCCAAGATTACTTTCGCCGTGTAGGCCGCCGCTTGGTGAAAGACGATACTTATTTTTGGCATTATTGTTGTTATTACCGTTAATGTTACTCTGATAGCATTCGTTATTGTTATTGTTTATGCTCAAATTATCGTCACCACCAGCACCACTACTACTACCACCAACACCTCCACTGGCGCCGTGGCCGTTTGTCGTACTGGGCTGTGCATTCTGCGTTGTCGCTGCTTCATGCGTACTGGCCTCAGCCAGTATACGTTGCCTTATGAATGTTTGATGCAGTGGCGGCATGTCGCGCATATCGTACGGTATGACGAACATGCGCACCACAGTGCCCATTGGATTTAGCAGAGTGGCTTGTACATTGCCAGCACGAGGTACCGAGTAGCCCTTACGTGGTAGACGTATTTCGCACTGAAAAGGAGAGTGATGAATTTGTAAAAATCGCAAAATATTAAGAAAATGTATAGTTGATAGGCTTGAAATCTCCGATTTCAAAACCCCTAAAACACTCCTCTTTGCATTGACGGCCTGGGCCGCTGGTCGATCTAACAGCGGGGTATCATCAGTTCTTTCGCTTAGAACTCCTTTTTGAGTTTGAAGATTTTAATTTTTTGGATTTTTTTTAAATTGGGGACTTTGTGTTTGGCGATTGAATTTTTTGGGATTTCGAGCCTCTCTCCTCTTAATTTATATATATATTTTTTAATATTATATTTTTAGTTAATTTTATTTGTTTAAATTCACAACGATTCGTTTTGGTATAGAAACTTCTATTTTATTTGTTTACTGAACCGAGCTGTGTCGATTTAGTCATGTTCGTCTGTCTGTATATACCCGTATTAGTTCCTCAGTTTATGAGTTATCGATCTAAAATTTTGCACTTTCGCTTCGGTGTAACCGGTGCAACATTTTTTCTCGTTATCTTAATAAATTTACATTATTTGTCAAAATGTAATGCTCATTTTCATATTTATATCTGCAATTTCAATATTTTTTCTTAACTTAGCTAAAACCAAATTAAAATATCAAAAAAAATCATATTTATCTACTTTACGAATATTTATTTCCCTTCCTTCCCTCCTACTGCATGGTTAAATAACCCATTTCGTTCCAACTCAACAACTCACCACATAAGGCGTGCTCAGCGACTCGCCACGCAATTCGTAGAAATATGAAGCGGCCGGTATTGTCAGCTGTGTTGGGCAGAAGCCACCCGATGCACCTAACAACACCGTGAAACCCATCACTTCCACCTTGGGCACTAGACGCTTTTGCAACAGCGACTCTTCCAGATTGCCCAGCAACGGTTGGCGACCGAAAGCCGCAGCTACGCGTACGCTCTGTTTCAGCGGCGATGTGGCTGGACTATACATGCCAGCACTTTCCAAATCCTCATCGGAGAATTGCTCATCTGAACCGAGCGACGAACGATCAGAGCGATCGGATAAATGACGTGAGCGACGCTTATAGATGGCCGCCTGTTTGGCGAAACGCGGCGATAGTGATGGCGAATTGGGCAGCGTGGGTGCCGAGTATGACTTTTGTACAGGTATATTGTTGACTTCGGTGGTGAGTGGTGAGGCACAGACATTACCGCTGCTGGAATGCATAAGCTGATGATGTAGCTGCAAATGGTTTCCACTGCGATTTAACGCTGTGGGCTCAAAGCAAAATGTAATATCATTTGTAGCACCACCATGTATAGGTATGGGCGACGACTGACTGCTCGTGATGCTGACACCTGTGGGTGATGGCATCGGATTGCAAAATATTGGTGTGAGGTTCACTTTGGGTAGCCCCTTACGCAGCAACAACGCATTATGAACGCCATGTTGTTGCGGCGGCTTGAGCAGCTTGAGGGCTGTGGGCAATTCGTTGTTGTTGGCGTGCACGACAGCAAACCCATCGCCCGCCGCACCAACTGCTTGATTGCCACCAGCAGTCACATCGCCGTGATAATTGCAATGCAATTGTAATAAATTGGGTTTAGGTGTCTGTTTGTGCTGAAATGCCTTCTGTACGCCCTGCTGGCGTTTTTGCGTTTGCAGCTGTGGTGAATTTTCATAATAAACACCGATAGTCGTAGTAGTAGTGGGTGTTTTAAACTGTGATTCGTCGAAGCGTTCGTCATTCATTAATGTGGTGATAATCGGTGGCGTGCGGTTCTCACTGCGATCGCAGCCGTCGACTTGCTGATCACCACCGGCGCGATCGCCTTTCGTCAATAGTGGATAACGCGAAGAGTTGGTGGCGTTGGCAAGCGTGCAGCGGTCGATTTGTGGTGTTAGTTTGGTCGATGACATAAAGGATTCCTGCAAAATGTGCATATGACAGTTATACATACACACATTTGAATGGAAAAATTAAGTATGCATACATACCTCCTCTATGATTTGTGTGCGTGTTGGCAGCGCTGTTAGTGGCGTCACCGGCAGTTGATCACCGTTGGCGTCTTCCGCAACGATTTTATTATTCTCGAGCTTCTTCCCACCATCATCGTCGTTGTCATCGCCAATATCATCATTGGCAGCCTCATCAGCTAAATGCGCATAAGCTGTGGCAGTTGCTTCTTCACCGTTGCTATTGTCAAAGTTATGCTGTGTCTTCTGGCGCTTGCAAACTTGACAACCACCCAGTGTATTCTCGTGCAAGCTGCTACCACTGCTCTTACCACCAACATTAACATGCGCCGCCTGGACACCACTGAGGTGATTGTTGTTTTGCGTTTTACCACCACACAGTTTGCGTGACTGCTCCTTCTTGTGCTTGGCTGCGGCTGCTTTGGGCGTGCGCTGTATGGCTTGCAACAGCAGTTCGGCCTTGTTGCGTGGTGTATGTATGATTTCGCTGCTGCTAATGCTTGACGCTGTCGAGTCGTCCATATCGTCTACATCCTGTTCGGTGGGTTCATCTATGACTTGCTCCCCGCGCATGACGCCGCCACTGGTGCAACGCATACAGACGAGCGTCTTCTCGCAGCCGCATTGACGACAACAACTCATAGGTGTCTGTGTGCCTGTTGAAATCATTTCGATGCGCGTGCTGGTGCGCGAAAGCAAAGTTGTCATTGTATCACTGCAATGACCTGCGGTATCGTCCTCGTCACCCTCCTCCATCGGTTGGCAGCAGTTCGCCTCGTTTCGCCCTTTCTGCGCGCGCTGTAGCTCATTGGTGGCATCGAGTTTGCACGTTGCATCCGTGTTCGTCATTTGCGGCTTGCGTGGATGGTGTTGATAATGCTTTTTGTCTCGTTTCAACATGCGCTTGCGGTACTTCATCAGCTGCTTCTCACGATGTGACATATTCGCGCCCGTCCAAAAAGCGCTTGCATGGGTTACGCCGTCGCCAGTACTATTTGCTGCATCGCTAGGGTTATCATCCTCATCACCGAATGCCGCACCATCAGCCTCGTCGAGTGGCAGTAGCTCATCTTCATCGATGAAAAATACACATTTGTGTTTCGGCGCACAATTGGCGCGGCTGCAAAGCATGCTGCTGTCCTCGGTGTCACCACAGTCGGTTCGGGACTTCGAGCTATCACTGCGACAACTGGCACCATTCGAGACGATGGCCGAGTTTGTCATTGAATTGCTGGAGCTGCTGTTTGAATGTAAATTTATACTGGAAGTGCTCGATGTCGAAGTCGGCGCAGCAACCGTAGAAGTCGTGGCAATGCCACATCGACTCGTACGGCTGGTACGTGGCGTATCCTCCGACTTAACACCAACACAACTGTTGCCGTTCCGAAATGAGGTTAGATCACTTCTATTGCTATTGGCGCTGTCATTGGGTGTTGATAGCCATTGCGTTGCTTCGGCTATAGCTGCCGCACGTGGTGTAGAATTGGACATGCCACCACTTCCTGGTGTGGCTGCTGTTGTCGGCGCTGATGCTTTTGTCGATTTTGTTTTATTTGTTGTTACTTTGGCTGTTGCCGTTGCTAGCATTGTTGTTGCTGCTGCGGTTGTTGATGTTGTCGTTGTAGATGGTGTTGTCATTGTTGTTGTTGTCACCGGTGTGGCTAACATAAGAATACCGATTTTCGGTATGCCACCGTTGATGCGTGGAAGACTTTTGAGACAAACCGATATGCTACAATTCTCCGAAATATTGACATTCGGAAAATTGTGTACATTCGGTTTTGAATTAAAGCAGGCAGTGGAGTCAAATGACTTTATGCGGTAGAATATATTAAGGCGCGGTCGTCGATTCACCACCAGCGCATTATTGAGCTGATTATTAAGCGTATGTGAATTCGGCGATGTGCCTGGTGTGCTATTGCTGCCGGCAGTGTTACTGGCCACTGGTGTGGCCAGATCGCCGGCAGCTCCTGTGGGTGTGTGAAAAATTACACGACCCGTGTCATATATAGTTTTATCCGATTTCTTGATCAGATCACACCAGGCACTGATTTGGGAAAAATACAATTGGCTGCGTATTGCACTGCAGAGTGACGGTAGCGTCATGGTGGGCGGTGGAACTCTAGTTGTGGGGCGAAAAAAGAGAAATAATGACAGTTAATATGTGTAATTTAGAATATATTGGAGTGCTCTGGTCAAATATGAATACATATATAGATTGATAGTTACAAGATTGTTCATTTGAAAATGTTTGAAAGCTTTTCAGCTGAAGAGATTTAATAGTTTAATTAATATATAAAAAATAAATATATATATATTGTACAGTTGCTTGAGACAATAGTCCATGCAAAATTTCGTGAATATATCTTGTCAAATTAAAAATATTTTCATACATGGCCTGGATTTTGATAGATCAGTTTGTATGTGTAGCTCTCTATGTGCTGTAGTGGTCCGATCTGAAATTTTTTTTGGGAAGTTGTACCTGTATGCTTGGTACAATAATCCATGTGAAATCTCGTGAAGATATTTCGTCAAATAAGAGTTTTCCATACAAAGGCTTGATTTTGATCGTTCAGTTTGTATGTACAAATTTTAGATCGATATCGCAACAATTGAGGGACTAGTTCGCATATATACAGACAGACGGACAAAATTAAATCGAGTCAGCTAGTCATGCTGATGTAGATTGGTAGGTAGAGTAATTTTGTGCACCAGTTTCTTATATAAGTGCAGCATAGAAAGTATTTTGATTGATTTTTAATTGCTTACTTTTCTTTTTGGGTTATGATCCATTGTTCGAGCAGCATTTTATGGTTCACCGGTCCTAAGAAAACCTCTATGCAAACCGGTTCGCCGCGTCCGATAATCGCCTCCATTCTATGGCAGTACGCTCGCCAGCGGGAGCACTAAAAATAAAAAATTATTAATTTAAAAAACAATAAACATATTTTGCATAACTTCCTCCTACATACAGTTATATTTACGTATGACATATCACAGAAATGATCCTCAGCTTCAGCGGCCTCCCCTTTCGCCAGGCCCATTTTTCTGAGGAATTGATCACAGTGCGGTCCCTGTTGTGGGTGCTTGGACGCTGTTGTCGCCGCAGCCATCGTCGGCTTCACTTTCGTTGTGTGATTTATTGTTGCTGCAGCAGTCATTGCCACCGACGCGGTTGTTGTATTCACAGCTGTGCCTGGTATTGGTATACGTCCCGAGCCAAAATGTGTTGCCGACGCATGTCGCATATATCGCTCCTTTGTATTCAAATTATCTACGACTGAAGGCCAATGTGGACGTGGCGATTGCACACCACTGCCGCAACTGCTACCCGAGCCGGGTTGGTCGAGAAACCGATGCGTTGTGGCTGAGGCTGAAGCGGTCGGTGTGGTGGCACGATAAATATACATTGACTGTGGTGGCGGTGGGGAAGAGAGCGTCGCAAAACGAAAGCCACTCGGTGTAGCAGTAGCACTGTTCGCGCTCATACCACTATGATTCGGCTCTATTGAAGGACTGCCACTACGCAGACACGTTGTCGCCAACGATTGCAGCGAGAGCAAAAAATTCTCAGAACCAGAACCAGGTGACGAGCTGGCACTACCCGCAGCGGCACTGTTGCCTGCGACTGCTGTCGACGACGCTGCACTGCTCATTGCATTCAAATTTGTGCGATTAAGTAAACTGCGACGTACGATCTCGAATTCACCGCGATCATTAGCACCGGATTCATTGATAGCAAGCGCAACTAGCTCGGGTTCACGCGCCTCTACGGCCACGGGCTGTTCGTAGGTCGTACTGAGGTTAGCTGCAGGCGAGACTTGTCGCAGCTGGCACAATTTTTGTGTCCAACGTTGATGTGTGCTCTCCGCCGTTGAGGACGCAGATCCCGAACTGTTTGCACTGTATGGGTCAATGTAGAGTGGCGACGAGTCACGTGCATGTGCAGCACTCACACCACTATTGTTAAAGGCATACGGATTCGTTGTTATATTGATCACATGTCCACTGCCAACACCTCCACCAAAGCCGGCGGCAGCACGAGATGTCGATGGGCGAGATGTTGGCGATTGACGTCCACCGCCGACAGCAATGCCACCAACGCCACTCCCACTAATGCCATACGAAGTGTTGGCAAGCAGATTGTTGGTGTTGTAATTATGTAAATTACTGCCGAAACTACTGCCGCTGCCGCTGCCACTACCAATGCCTCCGCCATGCCCACTCCCACTAAGGCCGCTGGTATCACTGACTGAGGCAGTGGTACGCATTATTTGTGGTTGATATTCATCGTCGGCAACAGCGCGTCCCTCCAATATTAAAGAGGCTAGTCCTAATAAAACCGATGGCGTTTGGGCAGAAGGTGGTGAGGTGGCAGTGGACGACACCGTATTGGCGGTTGGCGTCGTTGACAACAACATGTTCAGCTGCCCATTGTTATTACTTGTACTGTGGTTATTACCGGTGGTACCGCTAACCGTTGCGGTGGATGTGGAACTACTGACTGTGGTTGGTATCATTTTGGCTGATTGAATTGAACTGCAATGAAATAAGAAATAATTCCATTATTACATGATGAATATTAAATTTTAAATTAATTAAATTTTAAGCTAATTATAATAGCAATATTTATTATAAAAAAGTAGATGTACTTATTTAAAGCTTTTCTGCAGTTATAACCGAAAGCTTACACTTAAAGTTTACTCAAAGCTTTATCATTTATTTCTTATTACCAGCGACAGCTATTAGCTGAATTAGCCTACAACGATTCATCTAGATTAGGTAACAGATCTAGAAAACAAATCACACACGATGTAACTACTAGACTTATGTTAGTGTTGTTTCTTAAAAGAGGGATTATCCTCATCCACGATGTCACATTTTTGCCACCAAAAAAAAGCTTTGAGACCAATGAAGATGAAATAAGTTTAAGAAACTACTATTTTTGCCTATTGGCATCGAAAGGGGGTTTTTTAGACATGTGGTTTTCAAAGGGAAATACAATTTATATATTAGTTATGGGCAACAATTTAGCTTAATTATAAAGATAAGAGTTTGCCATGATGTGTGCGACTGTGGCTCGAATAAATTCTAGCCGAAAGGCCCAATTATTACCAAGAATTTTTTCTTCCAAGGCGTCAATCGTTTGGAGCTTATACGCGTAGACAGCCGACTTCACGTAATTCTACCAAAAATAGTTCAACGTTGTTAAATCGCACGATCTTTGAGGACACGACGCAGGCCTTTGACGCGAGATAATGCGCTCACCAAAAGTTTTCTTCAATAATTAATGATTGTTGGAACCAAATGTCGTCCTCAACAACATCCTCCAATTCAGACAAGAAAAATACTTGAATCATGACGCCATAGCGTTCCACACTGACTGTAACATTATAATCGGCTTCATTTTTGAAGAAATGTGGACCAATAATTCGCTTGTCCCTAAAGCAAACCAAACAGCTACTTTTTGATGTAACGGTGTCTCAAAAGTGAGCTTCATTGCTGAACAAAATTTTCTTCTGAAAATCGGGATCGGTGGCCATCTGGTTTTAGAGCCACGCTTAATGGTCGTTCTTGCACGAGTTGGACTTTATAAGACCGTAAACCAAAATCCTCCCAAAATCTTCCATAAAGTGGATGGACACAGATTCAGTTGCTGCGCGCGTTGGCGGATGTACTCATTCGGGTCTTCTTCGATACTCTGCTCCACAGCAGCAACAGTGTCTTCTGTGCGCACTGTACGGCGTCTCTGAGGAGCTCAAATTACTTACTGAAGTTCTGGTGGACAAATATTCTGCAATAAAAGGAGCTGTAAGTAAGAAACCTTTTACACCCTAGATGAAACTCAATTGCACGACTTTTTGGTAATACATCTGAAGTAGAACATGTTTCATATACGACTCTGTTTTTCAGAAAAATCTCAACTTTTCAAGCAATAAAATACCAAATTACAAAATTTTTGGGCCGTAAATTTTTCTACATAGCGCCGAAAAAACCTCAGACTTTTTTCGGCACAAATATACATAGCTCTCTTTTTGCTTCCCCTAAATGTTTACTATTTTTTCAGATTGTTTTTTGGGCAACGAAACACTCTTGCAGTAGAAACTTACTAACTATTGCAGTTAAGAAACGAAAAATTCGAACTATACGTGTTTTTTTAATTAGTTCTTCTTTTAAATGTCAGACTGGAAGATTTTTGAAAGTTATTCGACCTTTCTTCAGATGATTAGACTTAAAGTTTTTAGACAGATTTTAAGCTTAAAGTATCAGAAAACGCCGAATTTAAATCGAAACAAAAATGGAATTTTCAACATGCAGTATTGGTCACCTTTCAAAAAATTAGGTTGCCGGAAAAAAAAGTTTCATATACAAAAAATGCATTATCGTAATCACATCCGGAAACTTACAGGCATATCCATATTTTATAACTTTATTATAATTGTAGATATGCCTGCATCATAACCTAAAAAATCTCAATTTCCGTTGAGCATTTTACAAATTGGAAACTTTGCTTGCTTTTGTGTTCCTCTATCAGCGATAATTCAGCTTTTGAAAAGCAACATAAAACATGTACTTTATAATTGACAAGTAGCTATTATCGTGTTATATTTGAGTTGTTGGTTGAGTGTCTTCATAAGGTGATGGTTTGACTGGGCGGTAAGGTGGAAGTATGCGTAATTTTTTCGTAAGTGACCTCGCAGATGCACATTAAAGTGGATGGAAAACTGTAAATATAACTGTAAATATGTACATATGTATTGTATGTAAGCATATGAATTCGCATATGTGTGTGGACGCATATACATATGTATAGGCAAATATATAGCACTATATATACAAGTAGTTATAGTGATTTGATGTTCAAGCATAAACTGGGTCACGGTCCAACTGCATATAATGCAAATTCAAAGGCATGCGAGTACATATGTGTAAATAAATACATATGTATTTATATCTAGTTGCACAAATGTATCAATATATATGTATGCATATAGTGGCCTGCATAACAAAATCTGTGGCATAGCAACAGTTGCCAAATATGCTGAGACCGACATATGCATACATATATCTATGTATGTGTGTAACTGTGCTTGCAACGGTGTCATGCTGTGGGCGCGTGAAAGCCTCTGCAGGCAATCACAGAGCGCTTTTTGTCAAGTACAAGGATTTTGTTGAATTGGAAAAGAAATATATATTTTCATATGTACATATATCCACACCTGCACAAGCCTACACATACACAAGTTGTAAGTGCTCACATATATACAAATGCATTATTTGCTCTACTTTTATGCACATAACACCCATTATGACGTGCCAAAAGGGTGGGAGATTGTCTTGCAAACACACAAAAAAAAAAACTGTGCAACTCCTGCTTGTTTTTGCTATGCCTTCATCACTTTCATTTATTTCAACCCGATTCTTATACACACATATACCATACATACGTATGTATGTATTGAATAGAAAACTATAACGAGGTCATTACAACAATAGGAAAATGGAAATATGTAACAATAACAACAATGCAACAATAAACAACATGCGTTGCAATTTCCGCAATATGAAGACTTATAGATATATACATATATATGTTATACATATTACATAAACACATACACACATTGATACACCACTTTTGGAGGCCGAAGGATACGGATGCGAATACAGAGACGGATATGTAAGCAACATATGCAGATCTACATAAATCAGGGCACATAATATTTGTTAGTGTAACGCCAGAAAATTAGGTCAATTCATAGCTAACGAACGAACTGCAAACTTAAATGGTACAGCATCCTCGCAAGTAGGTCAACATGGGCGCATAATGGCCACCGATCGGAGACAATTCAATGTTCTAAATGGTTGCTCTTGATGGACGACGTTTAATTGAAATTAATTTTCATCACATAATAGAAGTGGGCGGAAGTACAGACATATATACATTTCATAATGTTATTTGGATTTTTTTATTAATATTTTCATTATAAGTCATAACATACAATAAAATGCACTAATTCTGCAAAAAAAACATTGTTTTAGAAATGAAATCAGACAATGTTAATTTAAAAGAAGAAAAAATGTCAATTTCGGTTGCACCGAACCTGTAATACCCTTTACAAATAAAAAAGTTTGCATATTGCATACAAGAACTTGATTTTGATCTGTCAGTTTGTTTGGAAGCAATATGCTATAGATATATATAGGTCCAATCTTAATAATTACTTCGAAGATTGCACCGTTGTCTTGGACAATAAAAATCTTTGCCAAATTTGGTGAAAATATATCTTTTTATGGCAGCTGTATGATGTATGTCCGATATTAAATTTTACAAACTCGTATCTATATATATTTTATGACGTGTATGTAATTTCCATCTGGGTGTTAAGAACTTAATATACCCTGTTCAAGGTATAAGTATATTCCCTTTAATAAATATTATTTAGGGAGAGTATCCTGAAGTCTGCTGAATATTTCGCAACAAGTCCATAAAAATTCTGAAAAAATGATTCCTGAGCTAGAGTACATCCAATATCCAACTTTATTTCAATTTCATTGAGAGCTGTATCTGCCTTTATGCATTTCAGTACTGAATGTGATCGCGAAAAATCGGAATGACCAAAATAGCATAATTTACAGCATATATGGATTCACTCACTATTACTATCTATCACTATCTATCTCCTTCTTTATCTATTTTTTGCAACTCTTGAATTAATATTTAGAACTCTTAAATTAATTATTGGAACGTATTACGATAGAAAACGAGAACAGCTTTCGAATGCCGCAATGCTCCTGAGCTACGCTCTTGAGACTAGACAAGATGTATATATTCAATTAGGAAATTCAAGGTAATCACGAAACAACAAGAATTCTTAAGTTCTTATGTAAAATAAATAAATATTAGTATTAATACTCATAAATTATTCTTTCTATTAGAAAAAAGACTTCAAAGTTTAATAATTGTGAGGTGTTTTACTTATAATTTGAAAATGAACATTGGGATTTAAAAAAAAAAATACTCGTGAATATAGAAATTCGAAGAAATATAGTGAACGATCAATGAAAAAATTGACTAAGAGATTTCAGGCTACATCTTGGCTGAGCAGTTTAAATCCAGTTTAAATCCATTAAACATCAGTTATGACCAAAACAAAATATTTGTTTGTTTCACAATTCCGAAAATCTTTAGCATCGTTTCGTAACTGTAACAAAAGTATTTGTCACTGTCATATCAATGCTATTGCACACATACATACATTTTTATGACAATTTTTAGAGAGATTCGGTATCAAACTATAACCAAGATATCTTTGAAAACTTAAAATTGTAGAGTTAGTTTTTAACTGCTGCTCTATATATGTATGTAATACAACAAAATCTTCAAGAGTTTGTCGGTGTCAAGCTATAGTTGTACGAAGTGGTAATAATAAGATGTTTTTTTGTTGTTTTTTTGGATACCATTAACTTGTGTAGCGTTTGGAAGCTTATTAGACGGCATTTTAAAATCGAAGCACAAACTCATTATAGATTCGATT